GGTGGGGGTGGTGGGGGTGGGGGGGGTGGTGGGGGTGGTGGGGGTGGTCTTGGTCTCATGACAGCTGGACAGGTAGCTTTGCAAGTCGAGCATGCCGGCTGCCTTCGTACACTTCTTTGGCGAAGGGGATGAAGGAGCTGCCACCATCCTGCACCCAAACACAGCAGATTTGGCTGTTTGTGCTAGCTGCTTCGGTCAACCAGCGCTTCGCTGTTCTGGTCCTGGCCGGCCGCCTCATCATCCGAATCGGCATGGCCGAAGAGGTTTCCACCTCAATAAATTCGCACACTGACAACCCAGAAGAATTGCACTGCAGTCACTTTCGGAGAATCAGATACCAGCCCACGCTGTATGGGCGAGCAATGTTTTGGCCATCCTTTGCCAACATGGTTGAGCAAAGGTGTGACAATTGCCAGCAGATGTCGGTGTACACACCCGCCTGCAAGCCGACCTCGTCGGCGTTGGAGCCAGAGCCCACGCACGAATCCATGGCCTGGCGCGCTGCTACTCTCTCATAATTCGAGTAACAATCATCGGAAAGGGAAGGGGCTCTTCACCGAAAACACTTGAGCTGTCCGTGGTATTCTGTGGTCACACGGCTGGCTGACCATGTCCACAATCTTTTTGGATCGCGTTTTCTCGACAATCCTCAGAATTGCAGGGCACAGCGTCGGGACGTACGCTGATTGCTGGAAACACATGTAAGAGCGCAAGATGGGCTTCCGAAATCACAACTGTCATGGACGAGCATGTCAAGCCCAAACTTAGACCACCACGGTGCATCCTCAGACAACCTGATTCATCATGCCACACATTCAAGGAGGTGGACATTAAGACCCCCATCGCTTAAAAACATGAGAGTGATGGTCTCCATTGTCTTTTCCATTGTTCCCTAAGTCCCCTATATACCTTATCATGGTACCTTCTATGGTAGAGTCCCTGTAGTTTACCACCATTTTCCTACATAACTTACACAACCTATATCATCCTCACATTTCTGCTATGACTATCCTTATGTGTAGTCCCAATATATACACCGGGCGGGAAAGGCAGTGCAACAGCTGGAAGGGCCAGTTTTCCCTTGCGACGCCGCGCATCCGGGAAGTCAAAGAAGTCAGTGCAAAACCAGGCAATCCCCATGTAGACGCCGAGAGTCGAACATGCGTGAAAGTATGGATTTGATGTGGACGAAAACGCAAAGCACCACCGTGGATGGAGCATGTCCACGACACGCGTGGCACATCTTCTAAAGTAGTATTCACCATGTAGACGCTGTGCGCAAGATGGCTGTGCGAAGGCCGTACTTAAGTTGTACTGCCACAGACAACAATCCATCAGGTCGAAGGGAACGGACGTTCCAGTACTTAAGTTGTACTACCAGAGAACACAAAATCCATCAGGTCGACGGGAACGGCCGTTCCAGTGCTTAAGTTGTACTACCAGAGAACGAAAATCCATCAGGTCGCCGGGAACAGCCGTTCCAGTACTTAAGTTGTACTACCAGAGAATGAAAATCCGGCCCTGCCGCCGTGGTCCAGGGCGGAGCCCGTGTCTAGAGCTTTAACTCTATAACTCTATTAAGTCTATACGTTGTACTACCAGAGAACGAAAATCCGGCCCTGCCGCCGTGGTCCAGGGCGGAGCCCGTGCTATTTTCTTGGGTTCCCTCCCCAAACACCCCAAAAGGACCACATCTGGCCCAGACCCAGGTTCTGGGCCCGAGAACCTGGGGTCTGGGCCAGATGTGGTAATTTTTGGTTGTTTTGGGAGGTCTTTGTTTGGCCGTATAGCGGGGTATAGTAGTTGATTCGCCCGCCAAGCTCCCCGCGGTTTCGCATCGTGGCCCCCCGGGCCTCACCGCCTTGGTTTGGCCGTATCTCTACCCGGGCCCGGAAGGTGAAACGGAGCCCCAATGATGCTGATGATGCTGGCCAAGGGGGCCAGCATCATCAGCATCATTGGGGGCTCATTTCTCCAATCTGAGCTCTTCCGGTACCCCCTCCAACCTGCAAAAATTCGTGTCCGGGCCCAGATAGGAGTTGGGGTCTAGTTTTCAAAAATGTCCGTGCTCATCATGCTTTTTTGGAGGGCCCGATCAAAAATCCATCCGTGCCATGGGGATTTGCTTTCGGAACACATGTAAAGTTGAACTTGGTTTGGGGGTGGGTGCAGAAGGCCTCCCTGGAGAAACGGAGGTCCCAGCCAGGATGCAGGGTCGGCGGCATTGACCTCCGCTCCATGGCTAAAGCCAGGGCCATGGCCTGCGGCAGCAACCCCGGGGCGATGCCCGATAACTCCATTTTAGGCCTAGCGGCAGGGGCCGGCCCTGCCGCCTTCGTACTTCGATAGCTTGTCTTGGACGTTTGACCCCTCCTGGTCCCAATTAAGCCAAAATGGGTTCCCAATTGTGCTGATGATGCTTCTGTACGGGGCGCGCGTGCGCCTCGTACAGGAACATCATCAGCACAATTGGGACCCCATTTGGGCTTGATTGGGACCAGGAAAGGTCAAAAACTCCAAGAAAGCCATCAAAGATGACTTTAGACATGGTTCTCTGTGCAGGCTGACCACGTTCTAGCCCACGATTGCATTTTTTGCCAATCTGCTGCCAATAGCAGCCACATTTCGCGCATTAAACACCCTGAGGAGCCACAAAAGTGCTGGAAACATTGCAAAACGCGCCCAAAAACCATGCACCATGCACATGTTACAGGGTTTGGCCTGGGCAACGAACGCCAAACCGTCTCATGCTTGCCCAGTGCGCAGGCAGCTTAGAAGCCTGCCAGAGAGAGAAACGGGACCCCAATGATGCTGATGATGCTGGCCAAGACATCATCAGCATCATTGGGGGTCTGTTTCTCCATTTTTGGCCTCCCTTGCGCCCAATGACCCCTCATTAGCGCGAGTCGTTTCTCAGCCGTACCCCGAGGGGCCTTGGGGCTAGTTTTCAAAACGACCCGTGCTCATGATGCAGATTCTGGGGGTTCTGGGGGACCCCCAAAATTCTTCAAAAATCCCTCCGTGCCGTGAAGATTCGCTGCTGGAGCGCATGTGAATTTTGGAGCGGTTGTGGGAGGTCCGATGATGCACAGGCAGGGGGGTCGGCGCCATCGGCACCACCCCCTGTAGAGCCAAAGCTCTAGACACGGGCTGCCACCTGGACCACGGCGGCAGGGCCGGATTAACTCTAACTCTATACGGGGTGGCCCCGGTGTCGCCGACCCTTTCAGGGACCCTCCTGGACCCCCAGCCAAAACTGCTCTGAAATTCACATACGTTCCGGAAGCGAGTCCCCACGGCACGGAAGGATTTTGAGTGATTTTGGGGTCCGCCAGAGCCCCCAAAATGAGCATCATGAGCACAGACCGTTTTGAAAAGTAGCCCCGAGGCCAATCTTGTGGTAGGGACGAGAAAAATCTAGACTTTATGGTCCATGGAGAAACGGCCCCCCATGATGCTGATGATGCTGCCCCCCTGGCCGGCATCATCAGCATCATTGGGGTCCCGTTTCTCCTTTTCCGGGCTTCTAGGCTGCCCGTGCCCACTGGACCACGCCTGATGTGGTCCATGAGGGTTGGACGCTGGAACTTTGGAGGTTATCATGAGTGTTTGCGAGTTCTATGATGCGTTTGCCAGGGAAATATTACAAAAACAGTGTTGATTAGTGGGGTGATGGGTTCCAGGAGTTACGATTGTCTTATGCAGGTTTTCTGTAGTTTTATGGAAGTTTGATGCGATTTGCATGAAGATTACAAATATAGGATTTGCCTGCGGGTTTCACGCACATGACGGCTTCATGAAGATTACAAAACGATCTTGCAGGTTTTTGGTTGCCTTTATGTGGATTTTCAATGATGGTGCCGATAGATCTGCGGGGTGAGGGTTACTTGAGAAGCGGTTTCTGTGGGGCTGATGGTGCTTTCAGTGGCAGGAACAGCTCATTCGTAGGTGCGAGTGACCAAAAGATCACTTGAGTAGCGAAACGGGCCCCAATCGTGCTGACGCTCCTGCACGAGGTGCACGCGCACGCGCGCGCCTCGTACAGGAACATCATCAGCACCATTGGGACACCATTTTGGCTGGCGTCAATTAAACTAGAGAGAACAAGACCTTCCAAAGCTTAAAAAAACTTTCCAGGTAGCAAGAACGTCATGTTTTTGGTACATGTTTCTCGATCAGGACAATCAGCAGGGAGTTGCTGTTGACTAGAAAGGCGGCAGGGCCGGCCCCTGCTGCTAGGCATAAATCCAGCAGGTCGCCGGGAACGGGCGTTCCAATACTTGAGTTCTACGACCAGAGAAGATAAATTTAGGACATGTGCATATTTGCCACTCAAAACCCCGTGTAAACCCAAAAAGTAACGCCTTTTCATGTTCTAGTTCCTCTTAAAACCATGACAAATCAAGGTCGCTATAACGACTTCCACCTTCAACTGTACTGGGTACATTCCAAGAAATGTAAACTGCAATCCCCATGTAGACGCCGAGCGCATCGCCTTTCATGAAAATCAAATCTCATGTAGGTGCCGCAAAATTATGCAACGCATCGTCTTTCCCGACCGGAGTACCTTGTTAGGGATATAGGCATATTCCCCCTATGTTCGAATACATACACTGTTATGGACATAGGCCCTATATAATCCCCATATCGCGCGAATTATCCTGAACCCTAAACCCTAAGCCCTGGTCTCAGCTCCAAGCTGGCCCTTGCTGTCTCGGGCCAACAAGTAGCGACCTTGTAGAAGGTCAGAATCTAGTAGGGATACTCGAAAAGACAATGGAAACTGCTGTCATATAGGGGTTATATAGGGAAAATTGAGAAAGAAAATGGAAACTACTATTTAGGGTTTAGCGTTTAGGGTTCTAGGGTTTAGGGTTTGCTTTTGGTTGAGGCTTCTGTCACTGGCTAGATGTTGGTTCTGCGCTCATTGTAAGACTATGTCTATTGTATCCATGAGTATCTGTACAATGTACAACTTTCACCATGCCTGAAAACGCCGTCTCAGGGCCTCTGGCGAATTGGATCGCTGACATGCAGCGCATTCCATCTGCCAAGCCGCATGTGCTCGGTAGAGACCACTGAGACCTTGGTTAGTGCTTCCAAAAAACTGTAAGAATCGGACGAACGGGGCAAATGACGCTTCACACTCAGTGCTTGTATGGACTCCGAAAGCCGCTTTTGCACTCAGGTCTCTGCCCCATTGACCTTGAAGTAGAAGAAATGAATGCCCGGAATGAGCTCGGCAGTGGCTACTGCGAGGGACCAGGCTGCCTCAGTATCTTTCAGACCGTAAGACTATTACTATTACTATTACTATTACTATTACTATTACTATTACTATTACTACTATTATTATTATTACTATTACCATTATTATGTCCTACTCTCTAAAGGTGCCCGGAAATCCAAAATCCTGGCTATGACTCCTGTTCTCAGAGCACGGCCACTTGCTCATCCTTATCGTAGTGGGCAAGTAGCAAGGTCATGGGTGGCCTTTGGCTCCTCTCCTGTCGGATCTCTGAATTCAGACATGCTGAGAGTTTAGATGGCACGGAAATAAGTGGCCAGCCTGGAATACGACCTCCATCAAAATCTTGTTTGCATCGCTTTCCTCCAAGCCCCTGATCTTGAAATTGAGGGTCTGCCTCGGCAGAAGCGCTTTGGTACTCTGACGTTTCGAGTCACTCCCCAGAGACCGGAGCCGTGCCTAGGAGACTACACAGGTGTTACATGGTAAACCGCTCTTCTGCGTAGAGTCTTCTCCTTGGTACCTCACCTTTCTAACAGGATTTTGAAAAGTAGTTCCTTCCCTCCCATACTAAATCCCCATCATTGGAGACGTATTCCCTCCTTTAGCCCGCACATGTCGGAGTCATCCCTAAACCCTGAACCCTTTGGTTCTATGCTGGTACAAGGAACCTGAGGGGAACCTAAGCTCTGGACCCTAAACCCTGGTACGCCACCTCTTTAGCTTCGCAGAGTTATGCGGTAGGAGGCCAGGATACAGCTAAAAAGCTCTAGACCCAAACCCTAAGTCCACGTACATTACGGCTGACATTAAAGAGAACGATTCAGACGCTGTGGCCCCAGCTCCTTGGGAGGAGGCCCCGAGTTGTCCTTGCGGCGCCTTAGCGTGCAGAGGCTAATGCAGTATGCGGCTCCCGCACTGCTGGCCAGTAACATCTGGCGTGCTAAGCTGCAGACGCCCATTGCTCAGCCAGAAGTGGCTGGGCCGGCCCCAGCAGGCTCAAAGACGTGCTGCGCCTCTCAGTCAAACAACTTTGGCAAGATGAGGGAGACAGAAGATCCGCTGAAGTCTAAGCCAGCAGCCGTGGGGCATCGCCGAAGGCGGCTGTGGTTGTGTAGGGCTGCTTCTTGAGCAGGGGTTCTGTGGCCTGCGCATGCAGGCAAATGCTCTTGCCATCAACACACATCTTCTTTTGTCTCAGTCGTGTCCTGCCCAAGAACTGGAACGGCTGCTGGAGATGCGGAGGCTGCGGATGCTGCGGAGGCTGCGGAGGCTGCGGGGGCTGCGGAGGCTGATGCTGCGGCTGCGGAAGCCGCTGTGGCAGCGGCAGGAGGAGGAGGCAGAGGAGGCGGAGGAGCCGACAGCGCTTGGCGGTCGCTTGTCCTGCAAAGCAGCCGCCAGCCACAAAAGAGTGCAAGCCAGCTGCAGGCTGTGGCAACCTGAGGACGACCAGCTTTTTAACTACGAGAGGGCAGGTTTCAAAATGAAACCGTCCAAGAGAAGCCCTTGAGGCCCTCCAGGTCCATCTGTGCTCTCGCCTGGACAGAGTGGCTGGTGCCAGTGTCCCCCTCTTGGGGCGGATCCCAACATCACCAAAGCGACCGCTTAGCTCATGCCAAAGTCTGGGTCTCCTCAGTTCCAATGCTTAATGCTTGCTGGGTGTTGGGAAAGGGTTTAATATGCCCAAATTGAAATGCCAGGTGGGAAATCCTCTTCCCGATCCCCAGCGCCATTTCTGGGAGTGCAAGATGTTGCTGTGGACTTCAGCAGGCTCCACAGCAACACTTGAAAACCTCTGTTCCAATTGTGGAAGCTGGAGGTGGGACAAGGGCGGCAAAAACACCCTGTCGGTGAACAAGCGCTGAGGCATACTCCACTGTGCAGAACCTGGAAAATTCCGCCCGTGAGCAGCCACGCCAGTGACTTGAAAGTGCTAGGACCCTTAAACACGAAGTCCTAGTTGGGCTCCCCTTGACTTAGCAAGAGCGAATTCTGTGCCCAGAATGTCAGGTGCAAGCTTGATAAAGGCAACTACCTTGGCTCAGGAGGTGAGCTTCATGAGACCTTCTTCACACATTTCTCCCAGCACCCAAAGGATCCAAGGCTAGCACTAAAAAAATGCCAAAACTCTTGGCCAAGCTACTGGATCCCGAAGAAGCACAGCACAGCTGCGCGGCCAGCTGCGCCCTAGCCACCGGCGCAACCTCCTATTCCTTCCCGAAACCAGCGCTGTCCCAATAGATCCTGAAGGGGCAGAGAGCATGGGTGGAAAAAGTGGCCGGGTGGGTATGTGAACCTTTCAGCACTGTGCCTCGGCGGTGGGTCGCAGCTGTGGTTCCATCTGCATGCATGCCTTGAGGACATCCCTCCCAGGTGTCGAGATTTCCTTCCAGGAGGGTCCCTGACAAGTTACTGGCTTAGTCACAACGGCTTCCTTGAAGGCATCTGCATTCTTGAAGTCTGCGGCTCGCTTAGGAAGCTGGCCGATCATCAGCAGATGCAAACAAAGTCCCGCAGACCAAATGTCACCAGCCTTCCCACCAGCCATGTTTGCCCCCTCCCATATGCTGCGGGTACTCAGGTCTCGGAAAAGTTCGGGTGGCCAATACTCCTGCGTACCGGTCACCGTCAGAGAATCTCCTTCAAGAAGCCTTCCAGCTACATTGAAGTCAATGAGCCGAAGATCATTGAAGTCTGCACTCACAAGCCTTGGTGCCAGTCTGCGCTTTGTGACAGGTGTGACAGGAACCTAAAAGACCCATCAAAACGACATCGAAACAAGTTCAAAGTCATTGTGCAAGCAGCACATTGTCGCCCTTGATATCGCGATGAATGATATGTCTAGCGTGGAGGTATTCCACTGCACTCAGGAGCATCTGGAAGACGCAACATGCCTGCTCCTCCGTGAGACCTCCGGTCTTCACGCAGGATGTTCGGACTGCTCGCGTTAGAGTCTCCCCTTGGAAGTACTCCAGAACGATGACCGCCTGCCCGGACTCGGTGAAGTAGTCGAATGCCTTGATGATGTACGGGTGGGTCAGGGAGCTCAAAGTCTCGTATTCCCTTTTCACGATGTGCCCCATCTCCTTGTCGTCTTTCGAGGCAGACACAAGGCTTAGGAACATAACACAAAAAGCTACCTAAGGAACACGTTATCCTTTCGAGATGTTCTGGCAGGCAGTCCTCATCATCCACTCGTAGCATCTTGAGTGCCACTGCCTTCCCGTCAGATTTGCGCTTGCCCTTGTGGACAACGCCCATGCAACCCTGCCCCACGGCTTCCTGAATTTCGTAGAGGTCCCTCAGGGCTCATGCATTGCAAGAACGACACTGCCTAACCAGTGTGTGCTCACACATAAACCGACATGTGGACATCTGTGGAATTTGTTTGCCCACAGAACAGCCTCACGGAGGCGTGCAAGGTGATCTCCTGCCTTTCCAACTCCAGTTTTGATCTGGTATGCTCGAGCACGAGCTTGTTGGTCATCCGCCGCCGCCACTGCAAGCCCTGTCAGCGGCAGACCAGGGACAAACCAGACTCTTAATCTACAGCCGCTGAAGGCGGCATTACAGACACCACTACAAGTGCACACAATACACCAGGACCAAAACAAGGTAGGTGAAGACTTCATGTGTGATTGGATGATCCCGGATGCGGCACAGGAGACCATTTTGTTGACATGTAACACGCTTTCGGTGGCTTCATGACGTAGTTTTCAAAGCTCTGATAAGATATGTGTTGAGCAGCGACTCTTCCTTAGGCCCTTGCATCTGTCGAAAGATCGACAGACTCAGAGCGCACTGGCCTGTTTTGGTAGTTTCTTGGCGTGGACTTACGTGGCATCAAGTGATGAAAAATCTGGTAACCTTCCGCTAGTTCACATGTACCCTACGTTCCTGAGTCTGCTTAGCCGCTAGACTTGAAGACTTGATTTACCTGCCCGTGGATTTGTGCTTGTATAAGGTTATAATATAGGGCTCTGTAGGGATACTGGAAAAGAAAATGGAAACTACTATGGTATATCCAGATATACTATAGTAGTTTCCATTTTCTTTTCCCTTGTCCCTATAATTATATGCCTACATTGGGGTAATAGTGGAAAAGAAAATGGAAACTACCACCTTCGGCGGCCTTCTGTTGCTGGGGCTTCAAGTCTGCGAGAGGCTGCAAGGGACCAGGAGGGGGCTCCGTGACGGCACGAGCCCAGCCTGCTGGGGTGTCGAATATTGCTGCCTTGCCAGATCAACAAGGAGTAAAGACGTAAATTCTTTACTTACTGTTATTGGGAGACCCTATTTTTTTTAATATATATATATATACCCATATTATGGTAACTTAATTTGAGTTCCTTGACCGCAACCCAATGTTTGCCATGAGGACGTTCTAATGATGTTCCATGCGCGAGTATTTGGATTTCTGCTGCGAGGGTCACAAGGATGCATGTACAAAACAAAGACAGGTCATGGATTTGCTCATGGTAATTTCCAGACAAATGCCGCTAGGTGGTGAAAGATTGGGAAAAAGGTTGCAAGACTTGGATTCTCGGCACATCCAAGGAATCATCCGACAGGACGGCTTCCATCGCCATTTCTTCTGCCATTGCGGTAACAAAGGGAGCCGTCGTTATTGTTTTTTTGGGGACTTGTTGCTTGCGCAAGAATGACCTGGGCTGCTGGCAAGGAGTAGCACATTCTTGCGTTTTCATGTGCTCCTTAAGTATCTGCCTGTATTCTCCACTGAGCCAAGGGGTGCCACGGCAAGCAGTGACCAGCTGGGTTTAGGACATCTCATCTTTCACTCACACTAGGCACCTCAGAGGCTGCACTTGGCAGTGGGAGTTTGCCCACTCACAGAGTGCCTGCAACGCAGTCATCTGCTCCAGGTGTCTGTGGTGAATCGTTGCAGCCGCTTAAGAGCTACACTTTAATTCCGCCTGCCACGGGCCATCTTTGACTCCCTGAGGCAGGCCTTGTGGCTGACGGGCATGTCAAAGGCAAGACAAGCTGAGATCACAAGACCAACGTCTTGGTGTTGTGCGGATAGTGCGGTTGTCGCTGGACTCCCAGTCCTGCAGGAATGGCCCCGTATAACATAATCCCTATGGTAGCTTCCATTTTCTTTTCCATTATCCCTCTAAAACCCCAATAGACTGTAGCAGTTTGCATTTTATTTCCCATGATCCCAATATACCCCTAATATTACCCCCATGGGTACCCTGTATCACTCCCATATACTAAAATAATCCCTACAATCCTATCCCAGTATCTGGCCTTGTTGCCATCTGCTTTCAGCAGGGCGAGCTTGAAGTTGATGGTACCTAGGGTTTAGGGTTTAGGGTTTAGTGTGATGGAAAAGAAAATGGAAGCTATTGTAGTACAGTGGGGTTATAATATAGGGGAAATGGAAAAGAAAATGGAAAGTACTATAGTACATTGGAGTTATATAGGGATAATGGAAAAGAGAATGGAAACTACTAGAATATAGGATTCCTTTGGGTTGGTGATGTAGGGATAATGGAAAAGAAAATGGAAGCTAGTAAGAGAAAGGCTCCCTGAAGCAATCTCCCTCCATAAATACGACTTGGGTCTGGGCTCACATCGCACGACTTGATGTGCGTCATGCCCATCCATCTGGGGAACCTTGGCAACACAGCGGCACTGCGGCTCTGCTTGTAAGCTCTATCGGGTATCAGGGACAAGGGAGAAGCACCTTGGCTCCTGACACCTCGGTTGAGGTGCATAGCTTGAGACCTGTCAAAAGCAAGTGCAATCGTTGGATGGCGTTTGAAGTGCAAGCTGTGCCAGGATGGCCCTTCGTGGGATCCCAATTTCCCAACCTTATCACGTCGCTGCAGCTACAGGATGGCCTTCCAACATCAATGACAGCGCAATCTTTTCTTCAACCGAGCTTCTCCAAGCAGCTGCCAACGGCAACCACCACGTCCCCCACACCGGTAATGCCACAGACCTGCGGCTTCAATGCGCCCCATATAGCATTGCTACGCATTGCTATGCAATGCTGTCTGTGCTCTGAGGGTCCCGCGGCATCGAAGTGGAGCTCGTCATGGAAGTCTGAAAGCAGTCCAACGTTTAACTACCAAGATGCGGAAAACCTTAAAACTGAGTTCCAAGCCGCCAGAAGCATTCGCGGGCTTGACTTTGGGCGTTACAGGAACTGGGACAGCCTCTAGCACACCACTCTGGCATACGCAAGCATACGCGGAGTTCCGGAAGGTTTCAGAACATGTTGCGTCGCCCTGAGCTTGATGCGTATGCATCCACCTCGTCGGAGAAGCTTGTCTTGCGACTTTTGCCGCTTGCAAGCCTTGTAGGATTTGGAGCAATGCACGCACGAGGTGCAAAGGCGTTTTGAGGGTGATATGAGCCGCGCCGTGGGCCGGTACCATCCACAATCCCAAACTGGGGTGTGTGAAGCCTTGCAAAGCAAAGGTAAAACGTAAGAGACACAGCCTTTCACGGTCTTGTAAGAACTCTCAGGTGTAGGCTCCGCCGCACCCGACTTCGTACGGATTTCGCCTTGCGAGTCAAAGCCAAAAAATCGATTGTCACCTGGCGCGTGCAGGGCGTTCAGTGGCTGAGATCTTCTTTTGGAGGGAAGCTGGGGTCAGAGCCATTCTCCCAAACCGCTCGGTGCTCACGAGCATCGTAAATCACAAATTTGTACTCCTAAGTAGCAGATAAGCCAGAACCAGCAAAGGATCCTTCCCTCCAATGCAGGGACGTTTTGGGGGCTGCTCAATGCTACCATGAATGCAAGCAAGTCTCTGTGTCACATTCCTGCACCGGGCGCAGAACACAGCGCTGCATCCGAAGCTTCCACTACCACTACATAGCTACAGAGCAACATCGGAGGCGTTACATGAACTCCAGGCCTGGCAATCCACCAGGCCAGACCATTTTGGGTATTCGTGTGCCTGCGCGTGGCTCTTCACACCGTCCCAAAATAGCCCGGACCCAAAACCTAAAACGCCAGATCCCGTACAACCAACTACAAAGCATAAAAGCACGATGCATAACCCTAAAAACTACACCCCTAATACAAACCTAAACCGAAAGCCCCAAAATACGTATGATAATAGTCCGAAGCCCCTTAAAATGGTTCCAATGGCTGTTATTCTACATACTTAGGGGGCCAAGGATGCAGAACGTTACATCTTTTAATCCCAGACCCTGAATCTGGACTCTAAACCCCAAATCATAGCATCTTTTGTCAGCTCCACTGCTCCAATCAGCGAACTTGCTTCGCCTTTGCCGCACTTTGGCGGCACTTTGACCGAAGCCCGGCTGATGCCGGCCGCTGGTGTAGCTCACCGTCCGGTTCTCCTGGGTATAGGGTATAATTTGGTGTTTAGGGTCTAGGGGTTTACGGATTCAGGGTTTCAGGGTTTAGGGTTTAGGCTGAGCATAGGGTATAAATACAAGGTATATGGGCTTAAAGGGGAGTGTAAGGCATGTAGGGTATATCGGGCAGGTAGGGTGTAGAGGGTACATAAGGCACATTAAGGCACATTAGGTATATGGGGTTTTCGGGGTGATTATAGGGCTTAGGGCTCTCCAGGTCACAGGGTGAGCAGGGTGTATAGGGTATATAGGGTATGCGGGGCATATAGGGTATATAGGGTAGTTCTAGGGTTTAAATAGGGTATTGGGTTTAAGGTGTCTACTTTAGTGTGTGTGTGTGTAGGGTTTAGGGTTTATAGGGCTGTACGGCTTATGGTCTAGGACATGTATATATGTACGTGTATATATAAAACTCTACATTGGCTGGGTTGTTAGTGCTGGGTTTCTAGGGTCGAGGCCGTTCGGTTCTCTTGGGTAGCTTGGGCCAAAAAAAGGTTCAGAATTCGAACTTCCGTAGGAGTGTGCTTGTAGTTCATAGGGGACTTGCGATAAATCAAAAATTACTTGATTGGAATAGGGCTGTGGGTTCCACTATAACTACGTAAGGCACATTGGGAATACTAGTGGTAATTAGGTTTGTATCCTGAACCCTAAGCTCTAAACCCTAAACCCCAAACCCTTAACCTATAGGTTTGAAATTTAGCAGACTCTCCTTAGCGGCCCCAGGCTTCACAGGACTCGGACCAGCGAATGCGGATGAGGTTTAATGGGGTTTGGGGTTTAGGGCATGTTCCAAGGTTTGTAGCTCCTGCTTGGGGATTCGTGCTCCCAGTTTCTTATTGAGATGGCATTGAAGAACATATTGTGCCCTGTATTGCTGGCTTTCCTAGTATTCTTTAAGTGTATTCAAGTATGCCCAAGCCCTGAACCCTAGACCGCAGGTTCGGGGTTGATTAAGGTCCTCGGCTGAGACTTCCGGGGCTATGGATAGTCTTGGTGGCTGTAAGAGACCAGTATAGGAGCCTAGTTGATTACAAAAGGGCCGGTTTAGGGTTTCCCACACCCTGAACCCTATAGGGTTTAAGGTCTAGGGCTTCATTGCAGTATGTCATGATGCTCGATGTGTCGGAGATTAGGAAATTGTAAGCGGAAACAAACTGGGTCAGTTAAAGCTTCTACACTACTTGGAGGGGCGGGGAGCCTTAGTACGATACCTTGCCATAGGGCCTAGGGCTTTGAAACATCACTCTTTTGAAGCTGCGTGATGGAATAGCAATAGTAACAAGTACAAGCGGGATGCAAAGTCCGCTAAATCCGGCTACACCCGCAATTACACTCCCAACGTAAATCCATGTCCAGTTCTCTGTAGGCACAAATGCTCCTTTTCGAAGGACCACAATTTCCTGGGGATAAATAATGGCGACCCAGGTTGATCATCTTGGCTTGCCATGCACACATTGTTGCAACTGAGGTCATTTTCGGTGCTGCAAAGATTGGACTAAACAATTGGGGAACATAATTTTTCCCCAATTGTTAACATTGGACTCGTCTTCCTAACTTGCTGTGGTCCCGAGAAGTGTATCATCAATGAATAAATTCCAAGGATGAAACAGTCCACGAAGCTCAGAGAATGCGAGTTGTTGGGAAAGTACCCCAAAAACCCTCTGCTTATTCTTTTGTGCTTTGTTTGAACAAGAAGATGTTGTTGACCCTTAATCCTAAGCCCCTAAGCTCTAAGCCTTGACCGGAGCCTGGTGCACATGTCGCTGAAGCAAAACCTCGAGCCCCTAAAGTCCCTGTAGCTCTACCTAAACCCCAAGAATTTGGTGGGATAATGGTCCAAAACCTCTGAAAATTGTAACCCTGTTGAGCTTTCATCTATCATCACGAAGCTACTTCCTAAGTCGTCCTGGCTTTCCCGACTGCAAACTTTGCAAACACTTGACAACCCCATACTTACCAGAAAGCTGTTTTTTGGTTTTTCAAGCCTTGTGAACCCTCGATCCCTCACCTCCACTATTGAACACCCCCCATAACCCTATCATATCGAGGCTACTATGGGTAATGCTTCATACTGCGGTGTATGGGGTGTCTCTATGTTATATATTGCGAGAAGCGATCTATCGACCCACATCTGGCATAGCAAGCGGCGGACGGATCGCATTCATGTACGATTTCCAGAGCAGCGGTTTAGGGTTTATGGTTTAGGGTTTACAGGCATTAGGGGGTAGGGTCCTACACGCTAGGACAACACAGTGGCGGTGAATATGCAGGGGTACATTGCGTGGCGGAGGACTGGAGCACAAAGCTCAAACTTCAGAAAGGACCCTCACCAAGTGTAGGAAACCAGGTCAACGTACGAGGCGTCTGAATACCCTAGAGACGCAAAACTCCATATGCCTTGCCCACACTGTCCATCGCAAAAAACAACTACCCCATTCTTCGGGACTTAGAGGTTCGGGTGGGACAATATAAGTTGTCTTTTCCCAAAAAAGGGGGACCCCTGTTTCGACCCCAATGCGCTATATGCGTTTTTATGGAAACGGGCCGCTAATTGTTGGGCAACATGGACCCTGTAAATCCTCTTATATATATGGTATATTATGGTATAGATCCACCATGTGCATCTCTTTATACCCTTATAACCACAAGGCAGAGCACAAAAAGAATGTGGGGCAGGGAGGATCACAGGCCCATACCTTGCATCCCCCTTTCGAGGAACTAGGGGCCTTAATCTAGAAAACATACAATAAGCCCTGAACCCTAAACCTAAAATCCTAAACCCTAAGCCCTAAACCTTAAACCCTAAACCTTAGACCCTAAGCCAAAACATACTTCAGGGTTTTGGGCTTAACTTGACCCACATTACCCTGGGAGGAAGGAATCCCATACCCCTAACATTGATCCAGTTAAGGTAGATGATCCAAGCCCTGGAGTTGCACAAAAAAGCTCCCAGTACTACATTTGGGAAACGCGCGGGGAGAGTATTGGGGAAGGTTCCATGGGCTGGGTTTTTTTTGGGGGGTTTAGTGGTTCCATTGGTTGGGTTTAAGGTTTAGGGTTTAGGGGATCCTTAAGTAGGTCTGGGTAAGATTATGAGGTATATATGCGTCAGCATCCACCACCCCCCCACTATCATGTGTGAAACACACATGTGCTGGCATGGAACCCCAAAAACGGGGTCTAACCGCACCTTTAGGTTGCCAAGACGAACCAGAAATTTGTTTATGCGCCGCGCAGCAAATTTAAAGAACAGAGCAAAACTTGTTTCTGAATGAAGGAAGAATGCCCTCATTCTTGTTTACGGAACATGTAGAATGTAGTCAATAGTGCAACTGGCAAAAAGTGCTGACTGCAGCTTCTCCATTCTGACCCAACGGCGGCAAAATGCCCAGAAAAGAAAAGCAGGTTTTGGCTGAGCCCGAACCAAGCCAAACCGTGATCCGATTTCCGCCAACTCAGTCCTCATACTCCTTGGGGCTCAGGATCCGCCATTGGCCTTCGCCACGCAACTCCTCGGCGCTAGCGTCATGGAATCATGCAGATATCTTCGGAAACATCTTAATGTATTTGAGTTTCATAAAAGCAGTCGGACAGACTGTTGAATTCTTCCAAGACGCCAAGAGGAGGTCATGGTACTCGACCAAGCTCGGCCGGTGGCCGACAGACACGTAGCCTAACAGATGGCACACGGTCAAGTTTTGGGCTTCAATGTACTCTTATCCTCATCCCTACACGGGGAACTGTAACTTAAGGCACCTCCATGCTCATATCCTCTGACCTTGTCGTAAAGCAGCTCTAGAAATACTTCCCCATCACTAGGTCATAGGTTGGCATCTCTCACAGGAGAGCCAGCAACTCTAACAGACAATTCAAAGCCATCTGCAATGCGTGAGCACAGAAGGATCCAAGGGAAGGTAATGGCAGTGGCGGCTACAAACGATGGCAATCACCGAAAAAAACCATGGGAAGAAACTTCAAATTTACAGCAAATTAACTTATGTTCATCCTGGGGCTTCTGGGCTCCGCTCCTTAATCTCGGCTGCTCCCTTCCTTTAATCTCGGCAGCCGTCAATGTACCACCCAAGTTCCCTTGCTTTGGGTTCACAACTTGATACAACTTGGTCCAATGCAGCCAGGCCTATGTCACGGTCTTGAAGAGACTTGTACAGGTTGCGCTCATCTGCAACAGGGAGGGCAGAGGTTGCTTCGTCAAGGACGACCATCCTGTCAGACCAGGAGGGTAGGTGTGGCAATGCAGGGCCGAAATGTGGCCAAAAGTTCCTGCCTTGGTTGGGCAATCAGACAGCGCGCTGCTGCCAAGCGCTGTTGTTCCCCGAGTGACAGAACACGAGTCCAGTCCAACACCTCTGGATGAGAATTTGCACAAAACGGCAGAACCCCAAACTATTTTTACTCTAGTTGAGCGAAACTATTGCTTCGAGCAGCTGTCTCGAAGCCCTGCTCAAATCTGTTCGGCAGGTCTCCGAGACCAAATTTGCCTCAACAAAACAAAGTCTGGCAAACAAGCCACGACGAATATGAAGGATATGCCTGCAAAGCAGAGACCTTCAAACAAAGCCCGCCAAAGTCCTCGCCAGAGCTGCTAAGAACCTGCCGCAAGTCCTCATCATCCACATCCTGAAATCACAGACAGTGAGCACCCAAACGAATCGTTTTCACGGCCACAACAGTTCATAGCGCTCTGAACATGGCAAGAAGCTGTCTTGCCAGGCTCAGAAGGATACAGCAGCTGGGAGCGCAGGTCTCCCAGGGGCCTCCGCGGCGAAAGGCTCAGGAGTCCGCACAAGTAAGCGGTGCAAGCGGTGAAAATTAATATGCCGAATGCCAAAGAGGCTCATGTACGGCTTTTGAGGGAGGAAGAACATCTCTGACATCTGAGGTCGACGGATGCTCCCGCGACCTGTCCACATTCAAAAACTTCGAACACCTGCTTGTTACTAGCACTATTACGATTCTTACTTTAATTCTTGTTATTGTCACTACTACGGCTGTTATTTTTACTACTGTTACTACTATGACTATTGCTATTATTCTTACTATTATTCTTGTTATTGGCCCCTGGCCTTGTGTCCAAAGCCCAGCAATGGCACGGAGGATGCTGCTCTTACCGACACCGCTGCTGCCTGGCGTAGTGAAGTGGGTTTCAGGCAGCTTGGGATCAGAATAGTAATACTACTAACAATACTAATTAATTCATATAATAGTAACAATAATACTCGTAACTCGTAACAATGGAAATTAATAGTAACAATAATAAAAAAAAAAAATACGATCTACAAAACGCAGACAAAGGAACACAACTGCTAGCACCAAGCAAGCTGCCCACGACCAACAGACGGCTTGGCAGCTCCATAGATCCAGAAGCGGTGGGCAGGCTTAGGCTGATGCTAACGTCCTCCACCAGTGTTCCTAAATATCCAAAATCATCGCGAGCCAATCTTCATTGCAGGGACATTTCACACCCGACAGTTTTCTTCTGTTCCGCCCAAGCTGCTGCCAGTTGGCGTCCAAATGGTCACATTCTCCAAAGACAGCTGCTCGTCGCTGTTGCTGTCAGGAGTGTGCGTTGCAATCCTCAGCCGAGCGTATGTACTGCAAGTCAACACACTCTAATACATGAAGCTCTGTCAACTGTTTCTTTGTGCGCAGCCCCCATGCCAAGCGTCCTTGCATCTGCCGAGGACTCCTCAAAGAACTCTTTGCGGGACAAGGCAATGGCTTCGTAGAACATGCCCAAGCGGTTGACGCCAGCAGAGAAACGGCTGATGTCCTGGAAAGGGCAGCTGGACCATTGCCAGCTTCGTAGAGAATCTACAGACTAACATGAAGGTTTGTCAGCATAGGCGTACTCAGAAACCCAGAAACATAGAAGAAACTCCCAGCATAACAATGTGGGTGGCATCAGTCCTGAATTCGGTTCACGATGATAGTAACCGAACCTCAGGCCAACGGGCTTACGATCACTGACTTAAACCGGCTTGCAAAGCCAGGAGTCTGCTAAGGGACTGCAATGCAGACAGGGCTCTGAGGACCATGGAGAAGGCAAAGGACACCTGTCCGAAGGTACCGAAGTCCACCTTGCCAGCGAAGTAGAGGCCGCCCACCACGAAGTAGGGGACCAGGCGCGCTACCTCGATTTGTCAGTCGAAGCAGAGAGGCTCTGATGCTCTGCCGCAAAAGCTGAGACGCCCACATAGAAGAAGACCTTCTGGTAAAAAGTCAGACCCGTAGTCCACTGGATGACCTGGTCGTAGTTTTGGATGGCAGCCCGCAACTTGTCCTCAAAGCTCACAGGGTCAGGGCAAGTTCGCGTCTTGCAAGGAGGACCGCTTGGATGCTGCAGCCCCGCTTGCCAAAGCAACCTGCTTTAGCTCTGGGCTGTTCCTGACGTGCCCCCCCCGGGCCTGAAACTGGTCCCCACGCAGGGCCTCATTTAGGATGCAATGATTTGAGGATGTTGTCGCGACTAGGTTTTCGGAAGAGGACTTGGTAGAGACATGCCGAAAAGCGGCACAAGCCAAAGCGAAGGCTGCGCTCCTTGACAACATCGCTTTCTTTGTCCTCGCCTTGATAGAAAGCAATGGCTTCGGCGTTGTCGCGCACATGCACCAGGGAGTAGCGGAAGTCCGCTTGCAACTGCAGCTGCTTGTAGTTGATCCCGATGAGCCTGCTGCCAACTGACAGTGCGATCCTTAGCTGCGCTATCCCTGAGTTACCATCTGCAGATTACCAAACAAGAGTTCACTTCAGTGCTTCAAACTTCCCGCGTAATTCCTTCAAGACACACTGTTCCAAGCACTGCGTATACAACCAGAGCATAAGTCAAATCTGCCGACGTCGTCCACAGAATGGCTGCGAATGAAAGCAGGTTCGAGAAAGATCCAAGGATATCCAGAAGAAAGCCCAATGTCTCGCTGGTGAAGGCATCCTCAGACATTTGCAGAAGCTTATTTGCTGTCAAATGCCGCTAGCGCAGATGGCACATGAGTACTTACATGGAGTTACCAAGTTACCAGCAGCAGCCTAGAAACGATGTCTTCTGAGACGCGCTGATCCGGGTTGTCGATCTTGGTGCTTGTGGAGTTGGAGTCCAGGAGATAATATGCGCGGTGCGCAAAATATTCGTCTAGGATCATGATGCTCAAGTTCTGTCGCCACGCATTGGCCAGGCTCAGGCGAACGAAGCGATAGAAAGCAATGGTAGGAACGGCAACAACTAGCACCACCACAAAGAGCTGCAGCTGTGTGTAGAATCCAGACTCATTTTTGGCAACCAGCACATTGTCCAGAGAGCGAAACACAAAGCTCACCACAACATTGATGCCCGTAACGCAAAGAAGCAAGAAGATCAAAAGAGCCAACAGGCCCCACTGCTTCCACCGGTCGGCAAGCTCCTCCCGGCGGCTGAGAAACAAAGCGCTTGACAAAGCGATCCCAGTAGCGGCGGCTCCCAGGTAAGGTGGAACCGCAAGCTCGGCCAGCTTGCCCGCTACGCCTGCGCAGGCTCATGCAGGCTTGTGAGTCGTTTGGGAGAGGAGATGATAGGAGGAACAGTGCCACAGTCAGGCCTGGAGCTGGGGCAAGCGCAGCTAGGAAGGGAATGTTGCTCACAATGCCAAGGAGCCCGAGAAACAGCAGGAAGGCTGCAGAAACAACTCCCACCACCATCGCCCCCAGCAGAAGGCCGAAGCCACCTTGTGGCGCAAAGTATGGCTCCTCAGCTGGCATTCATGCTTCACTACATGTTGGCTTGCAGCGCAACTCCAAATGGCCTTGTGCCGAGTTTTGTACCCATCGGCACGATCTGCTTTCTTGCAGGCAAGCTACCGCAATCTCTCCAAAGCGTTTTGCCAAGGTTGCGTCGAAGCCAAAGCTGAAGCCTTCCTGGGGCTTGTTGTCGCCCTTCGTAAAATGCCGGCCCACCACTCGTCGGACTCGTCGGTGTCTGCTCTGAGCCACGACCCAAGTAGCTGCCAAGCCCGCTGGCAGGCATGCAAGGCATGGAGACCAACTGCCATGGCTGCCATGATACCCTATCGAGGTGCCCCTGACAGGACACAGTTCATGTGACAAAAAGCACTCAGACAGCACTGACTAGCTTGACAATGTAACGTACTTGCAAATGATGTGATCCCCTTGCAAGGCCTTGTCGGTGCCCGCAAAGCTAATGGTGCCGCGCGAGAGCTGGCCGATGGCTCAGGGACAAAGGCAGCCATGAGCCAGGCGCGGTTTAGAATGTTTATAGATGGGGTTGGCTTGAACTGTGCTCAGATAGTCGATTCTTGCACTAGGCCATGGCTCGAAACTGCAAGCCAAAAGAAGCGGCAACCTGCAGCATACTAGCCATGCACAACTCAGCAGATGGGCTGGAGGTCAAGGGGGCGCTGCCTCCGTCTTTAACGAGGGGGCATGTGCAGGGTTCCAGCGTCCCAACCTGTCGCGATAATCGATCATACAAGATACACAGACGACCTGAAAGTCAAATCAGGACAGCCGCACTCTTGGGTCGATCCCACGATTCGGATCTCCTGGCCGAAGCTTGTCTCAGCGCGGCAAGTGAAGGCCTTGGATCAGCCAAAGCTGGTAACAACTCTCAGTGCAAACAATTGAAATCCAACCAGAGGCACCAAAAGAACCAATTTCTGATCGCCCATTGTGAACCTCAGCAGGCGGGGAGGGGGGGATGCGGGCAGATGTCAAGCTGCACCAGCCGGCACTGGGGCAAGTGCGAAAAATTGACGCAAATTGAAAATCAAACAATGAATGACGAATGAACCGAAGTTCAAGCTTTGAGCCAAAAGAAACATGAAAAAGACAGATTTAAACGTCAGTCCCGCAATGGACAAAAGTCTAGCATGCCCGTCCACCGCCGTGCCGCTTACTTTACATGGTCTGAATGATGGAGTACATCGTCGTGTTGAGACTTTCGAGTGAAACGTGTGGGTGTCACACATCTTCGGTGACCCCTTTATTTACACTCACTATGTTCACTCCCAATCTCCTGGCACAAGGAACGTACAAGTTGCTTTGGCAAAGCTCTAAAAGTCATCAGTCATCAACAGTATCACTTCTCCCCAAGTCCTGTATCTTTCTTCTAGGCTCTTGCCTTGTATGAGTTCCTGACGAACGGGCTCTCTTCAGGATTCATGTCAACGGGTCAAGGAGAAAGGTGCCGTGGCAATGTGCACCCAGAAGCAGCAAGCCTTCTTGTTCGACTCGGCCAATTTCAGCCTCTGTATCCTGACTATCTTGAGAATTTCCAGTTTCACAACTCTTGCATGCCACCATGAGATGCCCTTGGGAGGTGCAAGCCTTCAACTCAACTCGAAGATGCTGTACCACTCATCGCTACCATTATCATTATTTCCATATTACTGTTCTTACTATTACTACTCCTACTAATCATACTAATAATATTTTCATTGCTATTATCTCTATTTGTTGCTATTATTTCTACCCAGCCACGGCCTATCTTCTCGCTGCTGCTGCACCTGCAGACTGGGAGCATCGGAATTTGACTGATCTGCCAGTGTTCATTTGTCAGAGCCTTATGCTTGTGCTGCAAGAACTCTGCCTTAGCATCGGTCGTTATCCATGTTCAGTGACTTGGTAGCCTACATCAGATTGGCCCCTGACCTGCCGCTCCTTGTCGGAGTCACAGCTGCGGTGGGAAAGGTTGTCCTGCTGATCCTTCCAAGGCAATCTGAAGCAACATGATTAATGATGAGTAAAAATCCAAGGAATCATCGTGGCACTGAAAGGAAAGCTTCCGTCTGGATATGTTTCGGGCGGAGCGGGCATAAGCGTGGAAGCATTATGGTCTTGTCATGTCAGGTCACAGGCGTCCCACAAGGTCCTCGTTGGCGGAATGCACATCGTTGGAAGAGTCCACCTGGCTGAGATGGCTTCAGGTTGTCCTACAAAGCCCAGCCCAGGCTCACCATGTAGGTGAACTCCTTGAGTGGTGCAGCCTCTACAGCAACGAGGTGATTGCCACAAAAGAAATGCAAAACGCTGGGCTTTGCGCAGGATCCAGCTCCTGTTGCAGCTAACAAGGCTCGAGTTTGCAGGCTTCAGCCCCAGGGCTGCTTGCGTTGTCGGGCAGCCTGCTCCCAACACTGAAACATGGAGCTGTCGTCCATGGGATGCTGCAGGGGCCGCTCGCAGCCTCAAGTGATGCGGATAGCAGCTTGTCCACTAGGAAGCTCCGAGCATTTCGCACTCAGCTCCGCACAGCTGGAAGAAAACTTCGAAGCCTCGCTTAGCGACGGCAGCGCCTCGATGTTCCTCAGCCAGGGCATAACGTTGACATGCGGCAGCTCTAGCGTAGCGTCTGCAGCAACTTTGCGCGCGTGGATGTTCGCCCCGGTGCGCTGCTCAACTGCTTAATATGCCCTCTGGGCGCCCGGCTGAGCTACTGCCTGAATGGCATCAACTTTGCCACAGTCCGTTATCCTGCAAGCAGCATGGTTGGATCCAACTTTCGGCAGCAGCGGAAGAGACTGCTGCCTGCATGAAGGCGCTTCGGCACACGGTGTCGCACCCATAGATGCACAAAGCGGTCTTAAAATGACTGAAAGGCCTTGGTTTTACTTGCTGGCTCAAGGTAAATCCCAGAGGTCTAGCATTGCTGGGCCAGCTACGGAGTAAGCAAGTAAAGAACTTCAGACAACTTGAGTCATTTGGGCCCGGAATTACCTAAACTTGAGCAAGGAAGCCCAGTTAAACTCAGCAATCACAGCGAGGTATAGCTTTCGAGAATGAAAGCAGAGCACAACAACAGGAGGTGAGACAAGCAATTTCCACGTTAAGCATTGTGAGATCTTGTTAGAGGGCGGTGCTTCGCACCCACCATAATCTTGGAGCCCTGTCAGTAGAAACTTCGCCACGCTTCTGGCTAGATCTGGTCTGTGAGAATTGTCAGTCAAAGTGACAGGGTTCACCTACGTGAAATCCAGTCTGACCACGCTCAGCCATCGCTGAAGTCTTATGTGCTCAGAGCATGAAGACTCACAGGGCGAACTAGCCCCACATCAGGCTCTGTGATACCTTGCGACTTCTTGCTGTACTCTCATGGAACAAGACGCTCAACAGCATGCAATGGACAGGTGAAACGTTGTCGTGCTGTCTCACGACTGATCATGAAACTGCACAGGAATAGCTTGTGTTTGGCGAAGGCTTGCGAAACTGTTGCAAGACAGCTCCGGCTGCATTTGCGCACGGTCCCCTGGCAGGAATTTTCCACCAAGACCTCGCAACAAAGGCCCTTCACTCTTGTACGCGCTTCCGGAAATCTCGAAGCTCCTACATGATTTAGAAATGTTGCCATTGCTAGGCACACACAATCCACGCACAGCCGTCAAGATCCTTTATGAGAGGGATGACGTTCTTGCCCTCTGCGGAGTACTCCCGAATGATTTTCTGGACCAGGAACGAGCTTACTTTGGCTTTCAGACTGGACAGAGCTGATGAAACACCGGAGAGGCAAGCAGGCCTCTGCATAGGCGTGAAACTCAAGCGTGTCTGCCTGACAAGTGGATTCAGCACCCAGCGCTTTGGCCCGTCAGCTGGAATCGGCTGCCACCAGATACACTGAGCCTCCATGACTTTGCCGGCATGCTCCGCCACACCTTTGTCAGAATTTTTCTCCTGACAATCGACGATTAAGGGAAGCTTCGTACAAGGGGTCAGCACCAGAAAACGAACAAGCGTCCTCAAACTTCTTTCGCCGCGACAACTCAACCTCCGAGGCAACAGCTGGATTCTGGTCTCATGACATTGACATCGAGAAGATCCTATTAGACCCTGGATGGGCCAATTGCTGGCACTCCTGGCAACTTAGGCCGCAGCCTGCTTCAGGTGCTCCTACCAGCCGCGGACTTTTGCAGCATCAGAAGCACGACTACGGAAATGTTCAAGGAACATCGAAGCAACAAAGCTCACCAATCGTCGCAAGCACTTTGCCGCCAAATCGTCCTCCGCAAGCTTTCGCGCTGCTGCGTCTTTGAGGAGATTCTCCTCTTGCTCCTGCACAAACTGTGGCTCCGTCAACTACGAGCCGCTCAGCCGCTCTGTACGAAATTCCAAGACGAACAATTCTAGCAAAGATCAGCTGCAGCATCTCAAGTTCTAAAGCCTGCAATGCATTGACTTCTCAGCTGAGTTGGTATAAAGCTTTGACACGGCATGCGAATCAATAATTGGACTGCTCGTTGGTCTAAACACGTTGTCACTCTTCTTAGCAGCCGTCCTGCTTGTCCAGCACCTTGCACCACTCCGCAAGGAATTTGGCAGTCTCGGCATCTTCAGCCTTTTCCTGGGGTTGCGTCACAACAGTGTAAAGGCGATGTTCTCAAGCTTGATTCAAGCTGGGCAGGACGGCCCGCGCGCGGGTATTCTGCTTTCGCTCGATCTGAGCCTTCAGTAATTCTTTCCCCATGCATTTATACCGTGGCAATGCACCAACCACAGTGAAACAGGTAAGAAAACATGGTCTGCATGAAGGTCCCAGCTTGCCGGCTGTTTTGAATATCCTCTTCCCACCTTGGCCGCTAAGCAGCTACATGACTATATGCAGCAGCTATGCAACCTCGTGTACCGTTTGTGGTAATTCCCAGGCCTTCTCATCATCTCTAGCTTGTCGAGCCGCTTCTTCTCATCTGCAGCCTGCGAAGTATGCGTAGCAAGGACTGGCAACTCCTGTAGCAAAGAATCACCATAATTGATCCTTTCTGATGCTGGCCGCCTCCTTCTGCTTCACCTGGCCTTCCACTCGAGCCTCCTCATTGTTTTGCATTTCAGCCAAGCGCTTGGCCTGGCCATCGGGCTGGTGGCTTGGACGAAAGCCCAACATCTAGAGAGGCATGAGTTTGGTAGATGTGCGGTTCACTTACGTTCCATTGATGATCTGCAGCCACTCTGCCTGCGCATCGATCATTGCATTTCGGGCTGCCTGCACCAGAGATCAAAGCTTAAAAATCATTAACCTACAGCTTGGCCACCCTGCAGTGAAATATGGCGATCGGGCACCTGCTTCTGCTGAAAGACCTCTTCCTCCTTCTGCTTGCGCAATTGGAGCATCTTTTCCTTGCGGTTCGCATACTCCTGCAGCAGACGGATCTCAAGCATATCAGAGTTTTGTTGCAGAAAGAGCCTACAAGAGGTTTAGATCCGCGTCCTGGATTTTTTCCTCCTCCTTCTGCTGACGGAGCATGTCCTCTGCCTCGCAGCGCAAAGCACCTTGAAGTTTACCGAGCAAGCAGCTGGAGCTTGTACCTTGATCTGCTTCAGGTACACATTGGCTTTCTGCGTCTCCTTCTGGGCCTGGAAAGCGGCAACCAGCACACAAGCGCTTACAACAGGGCCTTGCACGCTAGACCAGTCTGATGTCATGCCTGCTGTATGAGAGCAGAAGAGAATCCATCCTTTCTTCAAGGTCCAAACGCCAAAGTGTTCGGCCTTGATGGCCATCTCACGACGTTTCTTCTCCGCCGCCCGCTCTGCCTCAAGGTCCTGGGAGTTTCAATTTGTGTTCATTCCGAGTGTTTGGCATGGCTTCTGGATGTGATCTGGGTGCGGCACCTCAATGGCCTTACGACGCAGGAGCTCCCCTTCAAGCATGGCATCCTCCACCTGGCTGCTTCAGCTGCTGCAGCTGTGATTGCCTATGCTGCTCCAGACCACAACCTCCTGGAAGCGCTTTTCTTTGTACTCTGCAAGCTGCTCCTGCGCGCACTACTGCTTTGAAAGCCCATCAGGACATGAATGGAATCTGTCGATCCTTCTGAGCTTTCGCTGCTATCTTGGAGAGCTCTTCCTTTGTCTCTCGCTCCTTGTACAGGCTATCAGAGTCTGCCAAGACAGGAGACAAGAAAACCAAGCCATGATGCGGCCTTCATCTCACGCTCTAACATCTTCCGGTAGTTCCTGAGAAAGACAGGTTGCAGGCATAACCATATACAAATGTGAATTTTGCCCTGGATGTAAGATGGCTTGCCGCCGAGCTTCTGCTTCTCCATCTCAAGAAAGCGATCATCTCGAATCTGCTCAAGCCTGCGGGCTCAGGCCTCAACACCTCAAGCACAAGGCTGGTCCTCCACTCTTGGGTTGCCGGCTTTTTCAGCTCGCCTTTGAGGGAGATCTGCGCCTCTGATCAGCCATGAGGACAGGCATGGAAGCGTCCAGACTTGATTGATGATGTCTGAAATACTTGTCCAACCACGGAAGAGTTGGAGATGCCGCAGTGTAGGCCACCGAAAAGGGACCCAGGGTTTTAGATGGTCACGACAACTGGGCAGCAAGGTTGCTTGCCTGGCCTCTCTTTCCGCGATGACGTCACAGTGCATCATCTTGCTGTGGAAAGATTTCATGCGATCAGACCTCATCAGATGGATATCCAGCATGATGTCTATGAGGTACAGTATGTATTGAGAATCTACTGCACGCGTCTGCTCCTCGAAGGGCCCGGCTCCTCATACAGCAGCTTGTTAGCACCTTTTGTCAAAACAGTACTGCCAAAGCGGGCTTCATCTTTGCAAAACAAACGAACCAAGCCCATGACGGTCGATGGTCGCCCGTCTTTGATCCAGCTGGATCTTGGCTTCTTCAGCGTCTACCTGCCATCACTTGAACGAGTCAAATCTGGCAAGGCGGGGCTATCAGTCTCGGCGCCTTCTGCCTTTCTAGCTCTTCCATCTCTAACTTCTTCCTAGCCAAATCACACCATGATGATGGATGCGGTTTGATCCGGCTCGGTGCTTCCCTGGACCAATGCAAATAGCTCTGTTCTTTGCCTCTTCTCCTCGGCCTTTTTCCTCCGACTACCTTCCAAGGTATTGCTCCAAGTCTTTGCCCGAGCCTCCAGCATCCATCAAGAAAGCGCGTCAAGCAAAACAGCAGCTCAGGTTCACCCCAACCGCTCCTGCGACTTCTCGTGGAGCAGTTGTGCCCGAGTTTTCGCAGGCATCCTGGCTGACGTGATCAGTGAGATGCAATCACAACAGCCGGAAAACGCTGACGAAGGGGCTGAGTGGCATCTGCGGTGGCATCTGCAGCAACCTCTCAAAACATTATACTGTAATGTGCTATAATATACCAGAGAACATACCATCATAGAGTATGAGTTACTGTAATATACACCGGCTGAAGTCCAGACTTCTGAGCCCGAGCCCGCGGCATTGCTTGTCAAACCAATGGCATTTTTTATGCGCTGCAGCTCAGATGCAGATATGACCTCAAATCAAGATCGGTTAATAAAAGATTGCACCAGCGAATCAGTGAAAAGAAAAAACAGGAGGAAACTGCGTTCCACGATGGTAGCTATCAAGACATGTTCAATGCATCGGTTGGTGCAACAGGCAAGGACGTACATATGTACTTGTCTTGACCCTGGCGGTCTCCTGACCGAGAAGCGCCTTCTACTCAAGAGTCTGTTCATCTCAGTGGCAATTCCATTCGCCTCAGCCATGCACGGCAGCACGGTCAGCCTGAGCAACGAGACAGCGACCAAAAGCCTAGATCGCAAGCCCTCTTCGCGCCCACGCACTGTAAGGTAGCAATTTCAATCTTCTGGCCCAATCAGAATGGCAACCAACTTAGAACCTACACAGTACTATAGAGTAGCATCCCAAACCCAATCTTGCAAAGAGCAGGCCTCACAACCCCCAAGTCGTTGCCCAGCCCAGGCAGATGCGCAGATGGCTGGGTCTTGAGCAGATACCGCGGAAAGTGGCTTTAAGAGTCTTACAATGTAATGCCGAATAATGTGCATGATTAGAGACTTAAGGGGACTTGAACAAAGCACCGAGACAGCATCTGAGGTATCCTATATGAATTACGCAGCGGGCGGCCTTTTGCTGACAGCAATCCTCGGTTTTTTGGCTCTAGCCTAATTTTTCTTTTTGCTCTTTCCGCCTTTCTTGGCATCTTTGCTGGTGTCCTGGCCATGTAGCATCACAGGACACGGCATTCGAGTGATAACCTGCTCCGGAGCCTTTTTGGGCTTCGGCTCGTCATCCTCGTCGCGCTCTTTGGGCTCGAGCCATGCCACCGGATGCCTAGGACAATGTTGGGGCGTCTCGAAATGCAAGTAGCCTCAGGAACCCCACAGATCTGTGAGCTAAGAGGGGATTGTGGGGACCCTGTTGGGATGTGTTGGAATCTGTTGGGCATTACTTACGAAACATTGCGAAAAACTCCCATATCCTTCCGAAGGCTTTCATGAAGTCTAACAAAGCACCCCGCCGGTTCCACATCGGCCACGGTGGCAGGCACATCAGCGTCACGAACACTGTTGTGCCTCGGATGGCGGCTGGCAACCTCTGCAAAAGAAAAGAAGCTGCATGGCTGCTAGCTTTGGGCGCTGCCAAATATCCACAGAAATGTGTACAGAAACCTGCCACAACAAGCGATCAAGCTGCCTGGTTAACTCAAAAGAATAATCCACGGAAGCGGCTGGCCTCTGCGCAACGAAGCCGTGAATATACCCTATCACACCTGACATGCAGCAAAGCTTGCACTGCTAACTCTTGAACCTGCAACGTAAAAATGCCATCCCAAATGCTGAGCCAAGAAATAAAGCTTCTAGTTCTACCTGCAGTCTCGCTCCAAACAAGGAACATACAAAATCATACAACAAAGCCAGAGACCAAAAGGGTTGGCAGCCACAAGCAGCATCAAACGGAATGCACCATGTCTTTGGCCTGAGGTCCAAATGAAGTAGAACTGCATGTTGAACGCCTGACAGAACAATGCACGAGGATGCCCAGGAGCTCATATCAGCCCCTTTCCGTGCTTTTTGCCTGTTTCTGCCCCACAAAATCCATGCTGCCGGCTTTCAGCATGGCGTAGAGCTCAAAGACTGCAACACAACATGAAGAATGAAGAGGGCGTCAGAATCGTGTACTACAACCCACCTCCCACCATGATTGCGTCAGCTGCGGGGACGCCCGAGTGAGGGGCTGTCAGCAAAACTCCTACATGTCTTGTCTTGAGGCTGCGGCGCCAGCCGTCAGATAGCAGCAAAGAATACCACGCGGCAACCAAAATGATCCAGCGGCATGCCTTGTTTTTGCTTCCGCAGATGGGCGAATGCAAATCCCCAACAGCACCGCTGGCTGCTGGTTGCAATGCATGGCTTTCGCCAAGACACTTGTGAGGAGTTAATGCTAAACAGCTTGCATACAACATCAACTAGAGCTAGAACTGCTAGATTCATGAGTCTTAGCAAGCCGGACAAACACGTACCCTTGACCCATCACCGCCCATGCAGACCACGGGCATCATGTGCATACTGGCGCGAGCATGAACACATGATCTCAAGGACAACGTCACAAAGCAGCTCAAGAGGCAACAAACCGAAGAAAAGCAGAAAAGGACAGCGCTGAAGGTGCTGCCTTGACGACAGCGCGATGTCGTCGAAAACCGTCTGCCGGGCACAAAGGTCGCACTTGAAGGGTCCAAGAAGCCGGAAGCGCTTTTGCTGGCCTCTGCGGGCTCTGAGTTGATGGCCACGGCCAAGGTCCCAAAAGGCAGGTGCAAACCACGAAGGTCTACCTCCGACCAGGACAGAACTACGCAGCCTTTTTTGGCTTGCAGACTGCTTGTCAACTTGTGGCAGCTTGTACCAGCTGTCTTGTACCGCCTCGATATGCACATAATCGCCCTCCTTCAGCATTCTGTCACCGCCTAGGAACTTGTGCATCTATGCACGTCAGGACAGCAGAGCTTCAATGAGACGAGTTGCTGAGTTGCCGGTTCTTCAGATGAGCTATGAAACTGCAGTGGTCAAACATGAAACGGGGTCAGTTGCCACCTGCAGCTGCACCGCTTTGCGGAAAGCTGACTGTATTGTACATGGCACCCTTCAAAAGCGCACAGAGCCTCATTAACTAGGCTAGAAATTGCATCAAGACAAAGGGCAGTGCGGATTTCCTGGGACACACCGTCACTTGGGTGCCCTTTTGCGGCATCTCCAGAGGACAGCGCCTTGCCATCCGCAAATGCCCAACACTATTTCAAATTCTTCGACATCCTAAGTCTCACGATGCGTTTTTGACGGCCATGTCCTGCGGCCAGCGGCACGTCCACAGAGAAAGTGTTGTGCAACTCACGCAAAGCACAGGTCCAACGACCCACCGAACACAAACTTCCCATCTGCCAGAGCACGGTGTCTGGATTGAAGCTGCTGACAACACAGTTTCCGGGAAACTCCATGACAATCTGCAAGGACACCTGGGTAGTGGCAGAAGTCAACATGTTTTGCAAAGTGGTGCTGTGCTCGCCAAAGCCTGTACCAAGCAAGCAGAGGCCATATTCTGTGAACATGACGCCTAGCCAGACAACACGCAGCCAACCTTCCTTCTTTCCTTAAATAATCACTTGCTTCTCTTGGAGGAGTGCCAAGTGCCCTGAGCTTCCCCATCCGTTTGGAAACCCTTGGAACCAAGGCACCGAGCCCAGAGGAGGTTTGCCTCGGTCGACTCGAAGAACGTTAGTCCCCACCATCACGAAGTCTGCCTCAAAGTTGTTTGCCTTAGAGCCATGCACCATGGAGGTAAAAGACCGCATTCTCATTGTCAACAGCTCTGTCAGTAACATGACCAACTTGATATCAACAGTCAAACAATTCAGGACATCGTCATGATCACGCTATGCTGAGCAGTTTGCGTAGCGCACTAGAGCCTGAGCTATGCCCTCGTTGATGCCCTGTGGCGCGAAGACCTCACCGCGCGATTGCGTAACTCCTTGACAGACTGAGAGCCTGTTCATGGCTCAGAAATTAAGCACCTGACCAGTTTGACAACTCTGTCGGCAAACTTCACCATTTTGCCACTCGGCCAAGCTGAAGCATCCTTCATGCCTGGCCGGAGGCACAGAAAGGTGGTTCTGAATGAGGATCCACAGGTCCTTCGAAGATTGCGTCGTACTTGTGCCGGATCGCCTGAGTCACCTTGCTCTCCTACAAGCAGGATGGCAGGCAAGTTTGCAATTCGGTGGAGAAGCAAAACTTGCAAAGCTGGCTACCGTGCGTTGCTGCTTCGGTCCTTTGAGTGCGGCTCCAGGTATGGTCGAACATAGACTACGTGAATGTGGTCTCCTTCGCGCACAACGAGTCATAATCCGGTTCAGTTCGCCATCCAGGCCTAAAACAATCCAAACTTTCTCTTTTGTTTGGCTAGCTTTGTCCTGGGCGCGAGAGGCGCAGTGCATCGACGAAGGCCTTGGTGGCCGCCGGGTTCAAGCCCGTGGACACCACGAACTTGGCCTCAGCTGCTCTTAGCTGTGGCTAACAATGATAGTCAGAATAACAGTAACAGTAACACTAACAAGGTGGCACGTCTTCTCATGACCCCTTCGAATTTTCACTAGCAAAATTGGTTCCGGGATTTGAAATGTGCAAAAACCCTGGGTTTTTCTAGATGTCCATTTCAAGGGCTTATTTTGAACACTAAGTCACTGAGACGGGTCAACCTGTTGAGCGATTTTATGGCTTTCGCTATAGCGGGAAGCACATGTTGAAAGTGGAAAAAAAAAAAACTTTCCGGAGGAGTAGAAAAGCATGGTTGATGCATGACATTGAGGGTGCTGAAACCTATAGGCTTTGTGAAGAGTCAAGAGGGTTTCATCTAATTTTTGCTGGTAATGATGTATGTAGCATACCGCTACTCATGGTGTGAAACATAAAGAGACGGCCCAAATACGACAAATACTGTTTGCTAAGGACTATGTGGGATTTGAAGCATATGAACATGTCCGGACTAGTTGCACGAACGTTATTATCCTGGTAGCATGGATGCACTTCTGAACATGCGCGTGCGACTTCCGCTGGAGTGGTCCTGGAGCCCTGACTCTCGGGAAGCTCGTCCAAACACAGTGCAGCAGGATCGGAGCGCAGTCGGCTGCCCCACATGGCGACACTAACCCCTGCGCCTCCTGAGAAACATCCGCAGTGTCTGCGCATGCTGACAAACCCCATGAATGCAGGGTCCGGTCCTCGAGCGGACGTGCCACCAATAACAACAGTAATAGTAGTAGTACTAGTAATAGTAATAGTAATAGTAATAGTCATAGTACTGGTAATAGTAATAGTAATAATAGTAATAGTAATGTAGCACCTGAAGGACAAGCCCTCATCCAGCTTTAGGCTGCTAATTCCGGAAAAGCTGCCGGACGGTTCAGCGGCAGTTTGGCAGGGTCATTTTCTTTGAACACCTCAGATACACAGTGAGGCCGAAACCCATGCTCCTACACTACACTTACAGGGCCAAGTTTCGACACAGCTGCACTTGCCCTGTCGCATCACCTGACATGTGTCTGCGGTCAGCAGCCAAACCCAACGAAAATGCAAATTGCGCATTCAAATTTATGGGGTAATGGTTGTCCACACTCGCAAACTGCAAAGGAATAGACGAGCTGCCTCCAGGACGTTAGAACCAATGATGTGCTTGTCCTTGCCTAAGCTGACACTGTTTATTTTCAGATCCGTCTCTGATACCGGTACGTGACGTCAGCCCACCTTTGCGGCCCACAAAGCCCATGACGCAGAAGCTGGCAGCGTGCTCCTTGATGTCCTTCAACTTCAGCGATTACAAGCTGCACGTGAGCTTTAGCGACTTAGTGCAAGATAGATTCAGCGGCCACGAATGGTAGATCAAGGTCAGCAGTCCTGACAAAGGAGGGAGCCGATCTTCACTCCTGGTGTTCTTTCACGAATACCTGGACACAGACGTCAAGGATTGCTCCGCGTATATGAACATGTTACAAAGACATGCAGACAGGCTGCTGATGTTGTATCTTTTCGAAACTAATGCAGAGGTGCACTTTGCCTCCGCATCCTCAGCCAGTACTTTGTACTTTGCACATGGATTTATTGCGTTCTTCGTCTCATAGTCTTGCCTTCACATCAGTGACTCTACCCACAATTACATGGATCGCATCGCCGGATCACGAGACTAACTTTACCCTCAAGTATAACGGTATAGGAAAATTCCGGGCCCCCGCGAAATGGAGATCCATCATCGGGAGGGGTGCTTGAATACTGCGCAGCCAACATTATGTTATTATGTTGAAGAATTCAGAGAATACAGAATTTGGGCACCACACAGATGACTACAGATGCAGAGGAGAGTGAACTTGTCATCAGCAATAAATAGCCTCGCACACGTGAATCTACCTTGAACTAGTGTCTCTATTGTTCCCCAGAATGGAACCCGCATGTATGATCATGGAGAACAAACTATTAGCGGATCTGGGCAAATCCAAACATGCATCCATGTTGCAAGGGTCCTGCACAGCTAAACCCGTCTGCAATCCAAGGTGTTGTTACAAAAACAACTTTTGGTCGCCAAGCATCTGATTGTATCGCATTCCTCCGCCATTTTGGCGGGAGGTACTCCTGACATGAAGATCTCAGTGCCTGAATTGCAAGCAAGGAGGTTCTTGCCTTAGTGTTGTCGTAGTAGTGAACCTTGGCTGCTAGGATGATGCAGGCAGAACATCGCATACTTTTGAAGTTAGCTTGGTCTTGAAAAAACCTCCGGGGCCCGGACGATGAGAAGATCGGTTTCACGGTCGCTCTGGGTGAAGCCGTGGAGGACCCATTCAAAGGCACAGGATGACTGGCGGTCCACAGGAAACAACGAAACTTCAAACTGAGGATGAGTTTGGGCTACCTTTCTTCTGGCCTGGTCTGATCCATCCAAGCTCACCAAGACTTTAATCCGCTGATGTAAAAGCTCATCAATCCTTGGCGCTGCAGACAGCAAGTGAATGCTTCTTGCAAATGATCCTAAATTGAAGATGAGGAAGCTGCTTGTCGCAGTCTATCCAGGCAGCGTTTTCCATTGCTTCGGTTCCAGCCGCCATTTTCTATCTGATTCTCATATAAGGTTTTTGCTGTGCAGCTGCAACTTTGCATCTACTTTGTCTTGTTTGGTAGAGCCTTTTGTCTCTTTGCACGCTGTAGAACCGGGCAGAAGTCACCCGACAAAATCAAGTTGCTCGGGACTCGGAACATGTGCAGCTCTAAGCCACTCGCCTGGACGTTCTTGCCAAGGGTCCTGGATGGCAGAGGATGACTTGGCTCAACGGCTCTTGCAACCGCACTGACGCGCTGCCAAGGATGCACTTCAACACGCTTTGCCTCATCACGTGCCCTAGAGCAGCGAGTGGTGGTCATCAGTCGCCTCTGGCCAGAAACGAGAAAATCGCGTGGCTGAATGAAACAGATTACCCGAACAAACGCTTGATTGAAGGTTGACAAGAAGGTCGTGTTCCTGAGACCTAATGTAAGCCACAGACCATGGGCGCCGATGATCTTTAGCATGGACCTTGCAAGGTGGATGAAGGACTCGTTACTTGGCTTCACTCCCCGAGGGTGGTAAACCTTCAAGTGACTCTCAGTGCGAAGCTCCCACTTGCATTTGGGGTCGCGAGAAGCCTCACGCTTTGGCATGCTTTGGCCTTTTTGAGTCTTGGGAATATTCCACCAGGAGGGCTGCACTTCCCAGAATCTGCAAATCCCGTCATGAGTGTTGGGCAGATGTGCTCAAGGCGGAGGCTCCAGCGGTAGATGCTGCCCTAGATGAAAAGATCCAAAATCCCGGCATAAGCATGCACCAAAAAATTGACCAACACTGCGCTATAGGCTCAACTCTGCGGTCCTTGAACAACTTCAGTGTCCCTGCAATCGGAACTGCCCAGTGCGGCTCCTCAGACACTGCCCATCCTACACGGCTCGCGACAACATTAGGCTCAGTCCTTGAAATCGCCAACCTTTGTAGCGACTTCATGCTCCTCGCCGCCTTAGCATGAAAGTGCCCAAATGACGGCATCAACTCAAGTCCAATCTCTTGCAGCTCTCAATCATAAGACTGCGGCTAACTTCGAACTCTCTCTGGAAATCTCTGGCAGGCTGCCCTGTGAAGGGCACATTACTTTCAACAATTCCTGTCATTCCTGTGTTGCGCAATAAACGATGCCACCAAGCGCACATGCAAAAGGTGGCCGCTGGCGAGGTAATGCAGGGATCTCCTGGAATAGACACCCAGCAGCTTCAACTGCATGTTATTCTCGATCTTCAAAATTACAAGTATCCTATGTGTGCTCGGGTTCGTTTTGTCTTGAGGAATGGAACTGATCCTACTGGCTGCGTCGCGCGTGAATTAGAACCCTCAGCTTTCCAAATCACACGGGAAAAACATGACACGCAATTTCGAGGAAACCTCAAGTACATCAGCAGCCTTACAGCATGGCCGGCCTGGCGAAAGGCCTCAGGAAGCTCCTGCAAGGCTCAGGTTTGCTCGCTTCTCAACATTCCTTCTCGGGTTTGGTAGGCGCTGTGTAGCGGATAGTATGGGCATGTTTAGACAAGGGGTCTATATTCAGGATTCTCCAGCGGCTGGTGAGGTATTTTAAACGAGCGCAGCGATTTTACACAAACCATGGAACATCATGCAGGATTGCACCGTAGATCCAGGTTATGTCAGGCTAAAGGATTTAGGTTCTACACCTCCTTGTGGAGTCTTTGCAACAAAGCTGGGTCCTTCTTTTGGGTATGCCAGGTCCTCTCTCTCAAACGTAGGAATGACCGCGAGATCGCGAGTCTTTGCTGGGATCAGCAATGCATAAGAATAGCAGTAATAGTAGTAATAAAAATAGTTTTTTTTTGCTACGGCCTCGCGCGCTCTCTTGCGCGCATTGGCGCCAGCTCTACAAAAGAGTCCCCGTCTGGGTGGTGTCTTGCAATATTGGAAAAGAAAATTTGGGGGGCGGTGTGGTTCGTGACCGCCTGGTAGTGCCTGTACGGGATGACTTGCAACCATGTGGGTGTAGGTCTGCCTATTCTTATACCCTGTAGGTTGATACGATCCCTGAATCCTGATGCGAACAGTACGTTGTGCATGGGGTCTTCTCTGGGTGCTTTGAATGTACGAAGGATGAGTTTCTTCTCTGTCTTTAAAGTGAACTCCGAAGGTTTTTTGGGATAGTTGGCCTGTGCCCATACCGTGTGGTTAGTTACCCTTGAAATGTACGATGCTGGGATCTTGATAATTCTTCTGAGAAATCTGAAGTAGAAAGCATCTATACGTTCTAGGAGCGGTGTGTTCAGTGTGAAAACATCCAGCCCGTATAATAGTACTGGGATGAAAACCGACTGGAAGACCCTTAGCTTAGATTTTTTGCTCATGGAGGAATTCCAGACTAGCCTAAGTTTTTTGTAAGCCTCCTCTGCTAGTGCTTTTCTATGCTGGAATGCTTTGTCAAAGGGCTTATCCCACGTGACCATTGACCCCAAGTATTTAACCTGCGTGCTGGTGGGGACCGGCCTCCCGTTATTAAAGAACAGTTTTGGGGTTGCATATCTAGGGTCCTCTATAAGGCTTCTGTTTTAGTAGCGTTGAGTGCCATGCCATAAAAATCCGCTTCGGTTTCGAGGGCGCTCAGCATGGCTTGCATTTGCGGTATGGTCAAGGACATGAGGAGGGTGTCATCAGCATACTCCAGATCGTAATGCGGGGGTGGTTTGGGGACCAAGTGTTTGTGGGGATGCCTTGCATCAATAACCTGTTGTCCACATCCTGGAATATGACTGAGAGGACCAAAACAAACAGATATGGGCTAAGTGGACAGCCCTGCCTGATACCCGAACTGAAATTTCCGATTGCCTTATCTCCCTTGGACTCTTGAACCTCAAAGGTGGCCTGTTCGTAAAATCTGGAGATTAGGAGTAACTCGGTTTCTGGGACTCCTACTCTTCTTAATGCTATAATCATGGCAGTGTGGTCAAGTGAATCGAACGCCTGTTTCCAGTCTAGGAACAACGGCTGCAAGGGGCGATCTGTGTTATTGGCCCATTCCATGGCGCGTCTTAGTATGAAAAGCGGGTTCTGAGTACTCTTTCCTGCCCTAAACCCAAACTGCGAAGGTCGGATGCTGTGGTCCATATGTTTTGCCAGCCTTTTCTGTATCATAGCAGCCATGATTTTATAGACCACGTTTAAGAGGGCTATGGGCCTGTAGTTAGCAGGATCTGTATCTGAACCTCTACCTTTAAAGATAATAACTACACGAGCCTCCAACCATTCTTGTGGCATGTCCCGCTTGCTTCGAATTTCATTGTATACGTCAAGCAACGCGAGTTCGGCGGTATGGTCAAGAAGCTGGAACAACTCATTAGGCAATCCATCTGGTCCTGGTGCCTTGTTCTTTTTGAGGGAGGCCAAGACTGTCTGCAGCTCTTCTTGCAAGAACGGGCCCAATTCCGCAACCTGTGGGTGTATGGCTGGGCGCTCCCTGAGCGTCTCGTTTTTCGCCTCCGCGCCTGGACGTACGTACCATTGTTTGGTCTGGTAGTGGTCTCGAAAAGAGGTGTGGTTTTGTGACCACGGGACTGGTTTGTTATCGACTATAAGATGCGTTTTACGCGCCCGAAAACCTCGCTTTTGGTTGCGCACTGTTTTCCAAACCGTGGAGTGTGACGCTGTGAGATCCTGTGTAAGTTGGTCGTGGACCCATTGTATTTTATCCCGCTTAGCTGACCGTTTCGCAAGGTTTTTCTTGGTTTTGGCGTCTGCGTCCTGGTCCGCTTCTGCTGTCCTGGCGTCCGCTAGCAGTTGCAACGTGGCGTCGGAGATCCACGGTCTCCGGCGCACTATACCTGTGGGCGCGAATTTTGCCGTTGCCTTCTCCTGCATGGTGTGGAGGATGTTCCCATGGGTAACCGGCGCGGTATGGTCGATGACGTGCGGGGCCGTGGTGCCGTGCCTGGCTGCACTTTGACGTCCCACGTCTGCCAGCTTGTTGGCGCGTTCGTTACCTTCGTGTCCTGCGTGCCCCTTGATCCAATGCATCTGCAGACCCTCATGCTGTTTAAGAACGCCTCTGATGTAGTTAACCAGCTGCTTGCCCTTGAGAACATTTATGGCCCACAGACTATCCGAATGGATTATGGCGGTGTGGTCTTGCTGGGAAGCATGCAGCACGGCTTCTAGGATGGCAGTTAGCTCCCCCGTGTTATTAGAGCCTACGGCAGCCCCCGTAAAAAGCGGGTGATTGGGGTCCGTGACAACAGGGCCGGAGGCATCCATCCAAGCGTCTCCTACTTTATACGTAAATCCCCAGCCCGCAAGGGTGCGGGAGGAGCATTTTCCTCTAGTGCCCGAACCATCCGTAAAATCATGAACCCTGGCGGTGTGGTCAGAGGATACTGGGAGAGGAACGTCCGCGCAGATGGCTGCTGAGACCTCTTTTGTGAAGTCCTCTCTGGCCTCCGTTGTACTCGATGTCATGTCGTACCTAACTGTAGAGCTCCTGGTTTTGGTCCGTTGTGCCAACTTGATTCTGATGTGTGTTACCAAAAGGTAGTGGTCACTCGGGAATCCTGTGTAAAGCTTAGATCTACAGGTCAGAATGGAGGGAAGCCATTGTTTACGTGTGAAGGTGTGGTCGAGTCTTTGAAAACGGTGGGGGTCATTCTTGGGAAGGACGGTGGGAGGTGCAAGGAGTGAAGGGAGGTCGAGAAATGATCGTATTCTGAACGCGACATCCACTGGGTTGCTGAACTTTTCCCCTAGCTTGGCGTATACCTGCTGCATGATAAGGGGGTCCAACACAAACTGAGACCAGTCGGTGGGGGGAGCTGCTTTATCCCTGTATGTAATGTGATGCATCATGTTAGGCGACTTGTATGAGGCGGCTTCCACCATGTTACACCTGGACATAGTCTTGATGCAGATGGTGCGATTAGAGCTGGCGGTGTGGTCGATGTACTGCGTCCCCTTCCCAAACACGAACGGTCCTAACACTCCCTCATCTCTCCTGTGCTTGGCCTGGAACCTAATAGAAATAGTAGCAAGAATAAAAGTTATATATGTTAATCTGTTCATTGTAGCTCGGTGTGGCTCCTCATCTTCCGTGCGCTGCGACGCCCGCGGTGGCTGACCATAAGCTTTGGGTCGGCCCTAGCAAAGCTGTATGAGCTGTTCACGACCATATCCATTTGCAAAGAATTGCATGGTCCTTACGGAGAGGGAACCACTCACCGTTTCAGGATCCCTCAAAAAAAGTCTGATGCAAAAGAGGTCCGCTCGCCTCAGACTGCATGTATCGCAGATCCCAGCCGCCATCGACCATGTCAAGATGCAAGGAGGCGACTGCTGTTCAGTTGTTCAACTTGGCTTTCATTGCTACAAGTTCGCTGGCAGACTTTGTTCAGGTTGATGATCGCGAGGCAGCTGGTTGCCTGCTGTTCTTGAACCCTATGTGCATGCTGGACATGTCTGCGTCCATCAACGCAAGCTGCTGCTGATCACGGGTACCGTTCTTGGCGGTTCTGCGCACTCCCGGTATGATGTTCGCACGCCTCTTTCACACCCCATCTCGGCAGGCAACAGGCCCGCTGGCACCGGCTATGGGTATGTGACCGCGCCAAGGGCTGTCATCAACCAAGGATACACCTTGCACTGTTTGCAACAAATGCTGCAACAAGCCATCTTGCTAGTTGCCTGAGGCCAGCAACTTCTTAAAAATTGCGCAAACATGAGCAAACAGTGACTTGTAGACTTTGGGTTAAGGTCCCTACCAGAGCTCCACACATCTTCTGTCGGCCCGGTGCCTCTGCAGGTCATCATGTCAAATCGGCACAAGTACATAAAGTGCATGCGGAGGACGCATGACGGACGGGGCATGGCTAAGACTGCCTTCATTCGTACTCCTCCGCATGCAATCGCGACACACTAGGCTTGTCTCCATTGAGATAGGACACCACTACCTTTGAAGAAGCGCCTATGAAGTCTGCGCGCACTCGTGCACACAAAGAGTTCAATCCGACGAGGTTTTGCATGTTTTGAATTGCTTTCGTGTTGGCCAGAACTACCACTGCCGAGGCGGGGCAATCTCAACTGGGTGAGCATTGCTTGTTGTGCGTGTGTCGTGTGAGGAGTTCAGGATCAGCACATGTAGACCAGCACTGTCCAGGTGAGAGGCAATCAGCCCACTTTCATGTACTGTAACACTTGTTGGGAAGTTCTTTACCCTCAAGGAAACGTTTGCAGAATGCAAATAGTTGAGAATTGCCAGCACAACAAATGGCAAAACAAAGCGCGGTCCAATGAGGTGGTCTAGAAACATCATTCACTTCAAGCAAGCCCCAATAACAAGCCTTCTCAGCAGACCTGGCCTCTGGCAGGTTGTGGTGACCCAAAGGGGCTATCCCTGCTCTCGAGGCCTCTGCCAAATCCTGCAGATCTGCAAACTCGCGGAGCAAAGCAGCAGATGAAATTGCAGAGCCTGGTGTAGGCACTGGACTGGGTGAACTGCTTCGCAATGACAGCAAAGCCTAGGCACGCGCCAGAAAACATAGCTCTGCTCCTTGCTCCAGGCATTTGCAATGAAGCCTGTTGGATGGATTGGAGCTCCCGCTTCTCCACGTCCAAGCGAGCTTGCTCCATTTCAGCCTGCACATTGTCATGCTGTGCCTTTTTGGTCTCGGAGGATGACCACTTCAGCCGGGCCTGCTCGTGAACCTGGAGCCTCGCCTGCTGCAGAGACCGGCTCTGTCCCTGACAATACGACAGGCGCGTTTAGCTATCTGACAAGCATTGCCACGCCGAGCTGCGGGAGAAAAACACCTCAACTTAAAATGGCCTGACTTGTGACAGTTAACGCGGCATCATGGCTTAATCTGTAGGACTCTAGAAGTTTAATACTGCACTTGCCAGACGCTTCGAGACACCTGATCTTCCTGCTGCGAAACAGAAGGACATTGCGAGGCAAAGATCGCAAGAACTGCCACCACAGGGAGCCGCACTGCCAATAATCTTTTTCAGCGTAGCGGAACATCGGTTGCGCAGGAGCCTGGAACAGAAGGATGCATAGCCGATAAAATTCAGAGCACCGCCTCAGGCTCACATGCGCCAAAACTTTGCCCAGCTCCCCAGAAGTACACTGGATGCATGTCCCTCGGGAAGCGGAATGACTTCAAACGACTATCGACTTCCCGCTAGTGCTGGCACGGCTCTGCGGCAAGCAAAGGGAATAGAAATCCCAGTGCTCCAGGAAGAAGGAGCAACCGGGCCATGAGTTGTTGGGAAATGAAACAACGACTGGGTTGCTGCTGATGTTCAGCAAACTGTTACCATATCCCTGGGAGGTCCATGCTGGCCAAGGAGGCAAATCCTCACTGTGCTCCAGATGATCACTCCCCTTCGCCCCTTCATGACTATCATGGCTATCATGCTGTGTATTTCTCTTGCGGCTTGGACCGTTGGGATTCCCAAATCTGGCAAAGTTCGCCCAGTACTGCATCATCCACCTTGAAACCTGAGCTTGCGGCCCGGAGGCCGAATCCAGAGTCCCGAAGACGAACGGGATTTCATCGCCATGGAGGACTAATCCCATGTCGCTGGTTTCTGAGAATTTGTACAAAAACGCAGGAGATCCATGCAGCTCCGACGCACTTGCTACCCACTGCGCGGTGCAGGAGTAGCTAAAATCTGTTTCGCAGGCCTGTGCCGCATGAAAATACTTCGACATCCACAATGCCTTGCTGGACGTTTCGGGTTGAAATAAGCCCTCCAGCGTTTCAACACGCTCCTCTCCATATAGGTCAGAGTAATATGCCTGCATGGATGATTCTGACATAGACAGCATAGCAAAGGGGTAACCTGGTACAAACATGGCACCATCGTTCAGATTGAAGCCTGCCATAATCGGCGTCTCCTTAGATTGGCACATGACTCATCCTGCAAGGTTGTCTGTTTCTACTGGGACGCTACAGACATCACAACTCAAAGTGCAATGCTGCGGAGCAAAGCATCAGGCCGTAGGCTGCCGGACTGGGCCAGTTCCAGAGGTGTGCCGCGGACCAAGACGCCATCTACAACGGGCGCCCAGGTGCAACCATCTTTGCAGGGAACAGCATCCACTGCTTCTGCCACGATGGTCTGAGACGTCGAAACTATGCAAGAGAGAAGGCTGGAGGAGTTGGAACACTTCGATGTGGAGACCACCTTCTGGAAGTTGGCGTGTGCTCCGCTGAGGGTGATGTACGTCCAAAAGGATCCTGCGCCACTCTCCATGATACCCCGCTGATAGTAGGGCCATGCCTCCTTCATACCCAGCAGCAGGCTCACGGAACCAGCACCAGAAGACTCCCCAAAGATCGTGACCAGATTAGGATTACCGCCAAAGGCGGCTATGTTCTCATGCACCCACTGCAGGGCTGCCACCGTGTCCAGCAGACCATAATTGCCTGTGGAACCCTTGGGATCTCGTGACCGCAAGATGGCATCTCCGAGGAAGCCGAAGACGCCAAGGCGGTACTGGATAGAGACCACCACGACGTCCTCCTGTGTGGCCAGAGCAGATCCGTTATACTCGGAATCAGAGGCAGACCCGCTAACGTAACAGCCACCGTGGATCCACAGCATGACAGGTCTGGACCCTGTCGTGCTCGGCGTCCACACGTTCAAAGTCAGGCAATCCTCGGTGTAGCCATAGCACTGCCCACGTGTGTAGCCTTTGCAGTTCCTAGGATTCGCTGCGTAGTATGCAAATGATTGTGTGCAAGCTGGGCCAAAAGCCGTGGCCTGAAAGACTTCACTCCATGGAGCCATCTTTTGGGGTGCTGCCCAGCGGAGTGCCCCCACTGGGGGTTGGGCGAAGGGGATGCCCAGAAATGCCTGAACTCCCATACCATCCAGGCCCTGCACTGGACCCGAGGTAGTATGCACGATTCCTGTGTTTGCCCTCTTTGCCCTTGAGTTCATCCTCCCAGGGCTCTTCTTTGAGGCTGGCTCTGCGCTGGACTGTGAGTGCGTCTCAGTTCCCTGTGACAGATCAAACTTTGGGGGTGAACAGGATTCAAAGCAATAGCCAGGTCCGGGCTTCAGGGACATGTCCGCAGGAGTGCAAAGCTTGCGCCAGACGCATCCAGCAGCCATGCAGCCTCTTGCATCAGTTGGCGTGTAGCACTCATCGGCCCACCTGCACTGGCCAAGGCCATCCCAAAAACATTTATTTCTGGTGTCGTCCCATCCAGCAGCGGGGCCCGTGGTGAGCTCCGTGTGGCATGCCTCTCGTGGTCGCTCTGGGCATGGAATTTCGGGGACGCACTGCCCGTGCGGAACATCCCAAACGCATCCGTGTTGAAGGCGAAAAGCAAGACATTCACTGATAGTGCCGTGTTGCTCACATTGGCTCCCTGATGCATCCGAAGCTTGGAACACTTGCAACAGCGCGTACACCAGGAGCACGTAAGCACGCTGCATGGCGCTAAGTTGATCCTCAATAACCTCTAGATGGTGACAAGGTATCATACAACATCACATACAGCTGCTTTTATAAGAAACGACCGTTCAAGCGACTCTTGAAGACCTGGCTAAACACTGCCTCTGGTCTAGCACTGTTTGAATCCAATCCTGGGCCAATGTTTAAGCTGAACCATGTAAGCTACAGTCCGAATTTATTGGATAAGAATCGGAAATGTGATTATAGGGTTAACTGTGTTAGCTATGGTGTTCCGTCAACAAACATGTGTCCACTCTCAATGCTCTCACAGCCTGAGGGTGAATAACATGTTGCGAGGAAGGGCACTGAGGATTCGAGGTTTTCCACTTTCTTCACTTGAGCTATAGTCTAAACTCCTGGTATCCCCCTTAATAGCCTCTATAATACTGCCCTATACAATCCCTGATATAACCCCCTTCTTAGGAGTTGTTTTTCAGTTGTTGCATGTGGTAGTTTCCATGAGATACCCCAATACACTATATGCCTTTTTATGGGGACCCTGGCTCATGAAGACATTGTCAAGCGGGCTTGGCCTCACTCAGGAAAGGAGTGGTAGCATGATAGATGGATTGTCAATTTTGCCACCACAGACCACTCACATCACATTCCCCCAAGCAAACACAAAGAAGGTTCTTTCAAGGTAAACGCTCAAAATTTGACTGCCTCCAAGTTGAAGCCAGCAAGCTCCAGCCGGGTGATGGACCCCTTCAGTGCCTGTCATGGCATTCTGACTTTGCTACGTTGCGGAGGGAAATTCGTTGGTAACTCGCTGTTGTGACGTCTGATTCTCGCAGATAATCTTCATGCAGCCGTTTCAGGAAAACTGCCTCCAAGCTGGACAACACGCTGGGCAAATCCACTGCACTCAGTCTCAGCAAACTGTGAGAAATAGCCGAACCTCCTCCTGCTGCTTCTTTGCGCCAGACCTAGCATTGCTTCTTCCAGGACGCCAAGACTTCGGCTGCTCAAAGCAAATCAAGGCCAAAAAGTTCAGACTTGCACTGAAGCAGGGCGTTCTCCTGGTGCAGCCTCCGATGCCTGCAGTGCACTTGTGTCCAGGCCAGACATAAAAACTAGCACCTTATGGCATATCAGTGTATATTCTTGTATAAAGTAATGTACATTATGGAAAATCTAGGTATACATCTTTTTACCGCATAGAGCTCACGGCCAGAATCAGCTCAGGGGCTCAGCTAAGCTGGGCCAGATGTGTGTTTCCAATTTGTTAACCCCCGGCCCAGGACACCCCACCCCAACATCAAGATCTTGGGCCTGGAGACTGGGCTGCTCGCTTGGATGCAGCCTCCCCCATCATCCCATACCCCTTGCTCATGATACAGCAAGAATCCCCAATTATACCAGCAACGCCCAGCGCCACAGCGCCACCCCCTCCAAGTGCAGGCCCTTCCCTTTTCAAACTCGCCGAGGCGGCACTTGCGCTAGCCGTATCTAGCCGTGAATTACTGCATCAAGGCAGGATGAGTCTACTCCGGGACACATGGCGGCCGAGAGGCTCCAAGCGCAACTCGGCCAGCTGCCGCTGCGAAATGTCAAACTGCTGTGAGAGGTGGCCTCGCTCGGTCTCCTTGCAAGGGAGCTCATGCTTCTGCCTTCCGCTCCCAGCGCTTGGCATTCAGCACTCCAGCTGCTGGACTTCCGCTTGCTCGCGAAGAGCTGCCTGGTCTCTGACAGGGACCGTTGCTTTCACAAGTAATCAACCAGGACCTTCTCCTCGCGCCGACATGCCTCCTCTAAGCGGCGTATCTCCTGGCAAGGCTTGCCAAGGTGCCAAACCCATGCGTACAGGGGACGCGTCACGGTGTCGCAGCCTGGCTCCACTCTACAGCGTCTTGCCGTAGCCGCTTTACCAGAACTTGCCTGCCGGGGCACACAAAGTCTAATGCCCGTGACCAGCCTGTGCGGCTTTGATGCAGCCAAGTCTCTCCGCTTGCAGCAGTACCAGCAGGTGTTCTGCCGGCTGCGAGCGAGCTGGCCGAGTCCCTCCAGACGCCGAGGGAAAAGATGGCGCGTGGACTTGAACTTCTCCGGTGGATGCCGGTGTCGCAGCACTCGTAGATGGTCCGATTGCAGAATCCTGGCAACTGACACCTCACAGCGCCAAGGCAGCCTAGCATCGTGCTGGCCTGTCCGGTGGAGTTGGCACCCTGCAGCGACCTAATCTCATGCAAGTGTCACGCAAATTTGCTTCATCAGCGCAGTCAGCTCTGAGAGGGTGACAGGCTCTGACTTGTGTTGGTGCGGAACGGGTCCTCCTGGGAAGGTGGATTCGTTGCAGCCGCAGCGCTGTTTGCAGTCGCCACTGCAAAGGGTTGTCCATTGGCTCCCGTCTTCCTTGTGGCAAAGGGATCTTCGGTGAGTGACCATGCTGGATCAGCCTTCCAGTCGGACTTTTCCACTTCAGGGCTGAGACCTCCATCCTTAGTGAGATTAAGGCTTCCAGCGCCGCCTGGAACCGGAAGGCTGATCGACTCTTGGAAGCTGCTGACCTCACCTTGATCTTTGGTCCAACCTCCACTGCTCGTCCCAAAAGGCTCATTCCAGGAACTTGTCCCCCCAGTCTCGCCAGCCCCAGTTGCCCCGAATTCTGGCCAGGAAGAACCAGAAGCTGGTGCATTCCAGTCTGTGGGTGAAGGTTGCTCCGCAGCAGACCCGTCGCCCCACTGCTGTACGTGCGAAGGCTGGGACTTTTCTGCAAACGTCATCTGGCTATCAGCAGCAGACCATGCTGGACTATCAGTCGTTTCGACTGTATTTTTTTGAGGGCCTCGACTTGTGAAGTCTTCAGGCTTGAAGCTGCTGAAGCTGCTGCAAGGGCCATCTGCCGGCCATGCTGGCTGTGCAGCGTCTGGTGGCTGTTCATCCCACTGCGTGGTCACTGAGGTGGGTGAGCCTTCCACGGTATCCAATGCAGCAAACACCTGTGATCCTGCTGGTGATAGGCTGCGAGGAGAACGGGAGGGCTGAGCAGCATAGAACTCGGCCCCCTCCAAACTCGCCAAGAAAGGACGAAGACCTGCAGGCAAGAATTCAATCACACCGCTGTCACCGTTGCGGGCGCAGCGAATCAAATGCATAGCCGCCACGAATTCAGGCCAAACTAGACTGCCGTCACCGTCAGCATCGCTGAGATCCCAAATAACAGACAGCTGCCTGTCCGGCAGACCGGAAGAATTGAAAAGCTTCCAGGCTTCACTTGCCACGAGCACACCTGAACTTGCAGTTCGACAGAAAAGGCGGCCATATTTCCGTAGCTGGCGAGCTGTGGGTACACTCAGACTCTCCGTCTGCGTGGGAGGCTGTGGGAAGCCATCCTGAAAGCTTGCTTGTAGTTGTAAAGGATGCGCAGGCTCGACATACACCAACTCTGGTGCTAGAGTTGCGCCGGATTGTGCGTGTGCTGTTAGCCGTAGCAGTACACAAAAATCTTCAAACTGCACAAAACCTTTCTGCTCGTAGTCTGCGAAGTTCCAGATGTCCCGAAGCACTGCCCATTGCAGACCACTCTCATAAAGCAAATCTGCAGCTTGCTGGGCCAACACGCAATCAGAGCCCAGCGCAGCTTTGGCGAAGTACTCTGAATAAAGCTCCCTTTCTTTGGCAGGGAAATCAATCGCACCATTCATGCAGGCAAAGCGCGCCCTTTCCTAACTACGTAAAGGAGATTCGCTTTAAGTACTTTCTGTCAAGTCTTCTGAGACTGCGCATGCTTACATCTGATTTGAGGCAAGGCAATGGCTGCTCTGCTTGATTTGAGATTGGAGCTTCAATTCTGCATCTCTGCTTGTATCAGCAGCAGTCTTCACTTGAAGGCCACACAAAAAGTCTTCTTGCACACTCGTCTGCCCAACCCTGTGTGGGAGCCGACTTTTGTCTGAAGCAGAGGCATGCGAGCTCACCACCATGTCACTGCGTTAGACGCACTAGTGAAACGGTCTGCCGCACCACTTGAGTGCGCAACTAGTCTTCTCTGATCTCTGATTTCATCGAAAATCTGCCCCACATGCCGTGCCAAGGGCTGCTGGTGATGTCAGCCTTCGATTCAAACAAGCTAAAACCACTGGACTGCACAGCATGCATAGCCCATCTATCCGAAAGAACTCAAGCCGCCTCGTTCTGGTATGTCATTCCGACGGATCCGCCGGTACCATGTTCTCCACTTCCTTCACAATGGCTGGCGGCATGTACTTTTGGTTCCCAGCGACGCTGATTCAACAGCAACAACTCAGGGGCAAGTACAGTTTTAACATGTTTTACTTGTGGGGGAAGGGAGGCAACCATCCTGATGGATTTCGGCGATCGACGAGTTGGCTTTGTCGAGATCCTTCACGAAAATGTCAAGCGCCAAAGCCAGGTGCTAGGAGATGCCAAGCCTCGATGGATGGACCAGCAACATCTTCATCGATTCCTGTCGAGCTGGCATCACATCAATTCTTTCCAGGCACGATCTCGGACCCGGACCCGAGTCCAATGCCGCTCCTGGCAAGTTGAGTTCCACCGGGTGCCGCATCAACATGCTTTGCAGCTGGTCACGGGACATCCAGCCCGCAACTAGATTTGCGAAACCAACCTTCGTGGGGAAAGAAGAGTTGCCGTAACCCCGACTTCGGCCAGTGTCTGGCCTTGATGCTCAACATCGCAGGCACGAACGATGTCCTTCAACTGCTTCTACAACAAAGACTTTGTAGGGTGAACTTGGAGTGTTGCAGCTGCCTCCAGCTGGCAACCAACCATGGACTCGATCACGTTGCGGCTGCTCTCCTGCACAATCGCAAGCAAAGACCGAAGCAGGCTCCAGCAATTCCTCGTCCTCTTACCTTTCTCTCCACCTTGGCGTCTTTGATGCCTCTTTCCAACATTCCCAACACATTTTGCCCCCTTGGATCCTCCGAGGCATCTGAGCCCTCAAAGTCCACTGGGCTGCTCCACCTGGCACCATCTGGTGCTACACTTTTGCCTTTACCGCCCGCTGTGATAGCAGCGTGCCTCGAGCTAAGACCTCCTTCCAACATGCCGGTAACAACCTCAAAGCTAAATTTCAGCACGGAAGCTTTTGCTGCGATGATCTTGCAAGACAAAGGGAATCCGAGCTCAGTGCAGCAGCGCCCTCAGCTTCCACCTGTCAGCGTGGCGAGGGCCACTATCAACAAGAGCCAGAATCACAAGAACTAAGCATGGGATCCGTGTATGAACATGGTTTGCAAGCAACGCCTTGCGGTCCACAGGCGGGCTAACCTGAGGCACAAACATGTGCCAAGAACGTTAGACGCAGCAAGTGATCTCTCTACAGTTATGAATTTGATGGCGTCCTTTTTGGCTTCGGCGCGCAGGTCTTTCTTCCAGCCGGACTTCCACTGCCAAGCCTTTTGAACGCCTTCGACTGCTGACGGTCCCTGCGGGATGGCCCTGATTCTTCGTGGTTGTGGCCGAGGACAGAGAGGACAGAACGGACAGCCTTCCTGGACCATGCCCTGCGCCAAGACCCGTCTCGTGCTTCGACGCTGCATCAAGGCGGCAGCGCTTCGCTTCAGAGTCTTCAGACCCCCAACAGCTTCTGAGTCTGCTCAGAGAAGACCTTGGGTGCGATTGCCAAAGAGCAATGCCTATTTCAGCCCATCAACACACAGAAGCGCACAGCAGCACAGGTGCGGACAGGCCTGCACGCTCACGCTGCGGGGCAGAAGCCGCGTGAAGGCCAAGTGGAGCAACTTGTTCAGCGGCCCCGTCACCACCCACGAGGTCCTCCCAGGACAGGCGAAACGAAGATCATCAGAAACACTGCTGATGTTCAGTTGACGTTCAGTTCCGAAAGTGAAAACGATGAACCAGAAACGCACCAAACGTACCAAAGGCCACCCATGTGCCTTGGCGTTCGCCTTCACGACTTAGTCACCCACGCCCCCTGCCTCATGTCCCGTGGCTCGTTTGTCTAGTCCCCCCCACGCCTGAGGCTTCGGGCGTCCCGCAACACCTCTACTGACCTGGATAGGTTACCAGGTAAAGCCGGCAAGGCAGGTTGTCTGCGCCTCCTTTCTATATGGTGTGCTCATAGCTCTTATTGTTTCTTGTTAGCAGTCACATCTTCAAACTTCACCATGTCACGCCAACCTAAATCTCAAAGCAGGATCGGATGGATAAGGTGCAGCATCATACAGGACTGATGCTCTCCGCCAACCAGCCGTACGACAGGGGCAGAGTAACTGCAGACTGGCCTGCCCAAATTTGCCAGGCACTCAGACACGACCTCGTATGGCTCCTGAAGCGGCTTTCGATCGCTTTAGGGTGTGAGGGTTGACAGTTTCTGAAATGTCCTGCTCGATATAAGAAATTCTCGCAGACTCCTCAAACGCAGCTCCAGATTTGACGCCTATGCCCGACGCGGACCAGACTCAAACAGCCCAGCTTCTGTTGCGCCGCTGAGGTAGCTCGGAGTGACCGTGGGGCCAGCAAGACAGGCCATCACGTCCACGCCTGTGTCAGATCTGTGGCAACTAGTTCTCGGACTTTCTCCCCCTTCCGGTTTCCTCCTTCAGATAGTTCTGTGTGAAGGGCCCGCGCAAATGTGGTGATGTAGGCCTGCCGGTGCGGTCGCGACGCCAATGCTACAACGTGAAGAGCCATGTGTCTTTCCCTGCTCCCGGCAAGGGCCTTGGATGCTGCATAGTTTGCAACGAAAGCACTGCCTTCGGGGGGACAAAGGAAGCAACAAGAACCAGCTGCAAGATGAAGGGTTGCGGAGTTCAACAACAGCACCTGCCTACTTCACCAGCGATGGATGACATCAGCACCATGCCGCCACCAAGTCCTCCAGTCAGTAGGTAATGCACCGGCAAAGGGATGACAAGCGTGACCTCTAGCCCAAGCCATCAGCACACTTTGTATCAATCTGAGTTTGAACTGCTGCTCGATGCAATTCAGCCCACCTTGTTGTGATAGATGCTTTCCGAAGACGTGCGTACTTGTAAGCATGGCTCGGACGTTGACGTCAATGACACTGAAGGAGCTGCCTAACAGGCTCTGTGGATCATGCACGTCATCCAGCTTCTGCCACATGAAGCATGCAGGGATGAGGGATCCAAAAAAACATAATCAGTATCAAAGCAAAATAATAGTTCGGGGATCAAAATAAAATTTAACAAGCATCAAAAAGATATTGAGATTCATGCTTTTCGGTGCCTGAATACTGGAACTGGTACGATTCGGAGGATCAAAAGAAATTAAACAGGGATCAAAATATCCATCTATGAACAGCCACGACGAAACATGAAAATGATGAAAACAACCGTTGACAAGTCATGGAAATCGGGATAACCGTGAAAATATGATAAAAAAAAAGGAAGTAGATGAAAATAATAAAAAATGATGGAAATCGTGAAGAAGATCGTCATTCATGAAAATGATGAGAAAATGATGACATGATGGAAACGATGAAAATTCATGAAATGATGAAAAATGATTAACAATGATGAAACATGATGGAAATGCGGAAAATTAGTGAAGATGATGAAGAATTATGACAAATGATGCAAAATGATGGAAAACTGATGGAAAATCATGGGAATCATGGAAAATGAGGAAGCTGGATGAACAAATACGAAACTTGATGAACAAGGATGAAAATCATGAAAAATAGTGGAATTGATAGAAAGTATTGAAATACGTCAAAAAGAAGAGAAACGATTAAAAATCATGAACTGATGGTCATGAACTTGATTTAAAAATAAAAAGGATGAAAACATTGACAACTATTGAAAAATGTGAAAATGATGAAGCAGATGAAAATCATGAAGTTGATGACACATGATGGTAAATCATGAAAACATGCAAATCATCAAAATCATGTAAAATGATGGAAACTATAAGAGCTAACAGAAATCATGAATACTAATTTTAAAAATGAAGAAAAGGTAACATCATGACCAGTGATTGCGCGAATGTACTTTGAGAAGTTATAGCGGGGTGGGGAGGTGGGGGTTGCTCGGGCCCCGCAGCCAACCCCTCCTGCAAAACCTGGAAACAGATTAGAACATGGGCTTTCTTCCGCCGGTTTAGGTCTGGCAATGTGATGTGATGAATGATGTGAAGGAGATGAATTTCAACAAAAAGGATGAGAATGATGAAGAGATGTGAGAATTCATGAAGACATGAAAGAATGATGACAATGATTAAAAATGTGAACATTATGAAGCAAGATTGAGCATTGCAGCGCAATGCAAATGCAAGTGCGCATGAGTTCTCGGCATACCCAACACCTTGAGCCCTGACAAAATCTAGCTCGATGCTGGGAAGGCGAATTTCCTACATAAAAGCTGGAACGTGTCCGTGAAACGGGCCCAGCCTTCAGTCTCTGATTACCCGATCTCCAAAGATTTTTGGTTTGGGCTTTACAGTTTAGAATTTAGGGCCCTCTTTCTTGCTGTCCTGATTATGTTCTTTCTTGCTGTCTGTCTGAGGCTCCGAGGGTTGAAAAAGCGGCGACAGTTAGGAGGATCCCGACCCCGACCCCCACGATCCCTGTGTTTGTTGACACCTTTCAAACTCCAAGAGGATCCAAGGGCCCAAAAACGACAGTTACGATGATCGCTCGGTTAATTTTTTGGATCCCGAATGAATTTTGTTTTGATCCCAAATAGTTGTTCTTGATCGTGTTTTTTTTTGATGCGCATCCCGGCATGCAGCAACAATCAGCAGAGCGGCTTAAGTCTCCATCCAGGAAGGCGCCACGAGGCCCTGTTGTAGCAGCGTTCACAACGAGGAGTCGGACCTTGGCACTTCCGGAGGTCTGTCCTTGACGCTGCGAAGCAGTACTGAGCAAGCTGCCGGGTATTTGTCAAAGATGTCCACGAGCCAGGTCTCATTGAGGTTCCCCAGGTCTTGGCTTGACGTCTCGATCTCAGCGACCAGAGAAGCAGACCCTGCTTTCCCTTTGGCAAGTGGGCAGCCTGCAATGCCTTGCGGACAAGCTGCTTGGATATCGACCTTGCTGAGCAGTGTCTCCTTCAACTTCTCTAGCTTCGTGGGCTGCCTGCAAACCCGGCCAGAAAATTAAGAACCGAGCGAAGAGCTTCGGATTCCCATACAACAGCCAAGCTGTACACAGCCAACACAAACCTGCCTGGCCACCAAGATCAAGTTCAGCTTCAGGGCAGCCAGCTGATGAGCCCACGCCTTCCAAGCACTCTCACACCTCCGAAGCTCGTACAGTAGCAATGGCAGGTAAACACCCAGTCTGCAAGAGCCTGGAAACACTTTTGCAACTGCAGGCAGCTAACGATTACTTGCTGAAGTCCTTCCATGGTGCAAAGAGCATGCTCTTGAGCAAAGACAGCTGGTGCTTGCCATCTGTATGCATCTGCAGGATGTAGCTGACAAGTCTGAAGAGCTCTCGGTCGTGAGGAAGAACCAGCTGCGCCACAGCAGACCGCAGACCTTCATTCCATATCCATTTCCATCAAGTTGCTCTTAATCTCCTCAAACGTGAGAGCCCCATCTCCATCGCGATCCATGGTTACAAAGAGCTTGTCTATCTGTGCAAGCGTGTCTGTGGACACGAGGCCTTCCCGCAATAGAATGTACTTCTGGAATTCCTGCAAGCACATGGACATGCTTGTGACCGGACAGCAAAGATTGACATGGCTGAAGGAAGATCTCCACATGCAAAGAAATGACCTGAAGGAACCGCGGTCACCGTTGCAAATTTCGAAGCCCGAACCCTTGAGCACGACTCATCCTATGTGTGCAACGAAAAGAACACAAGCCCACCTTGTCCCTGGGGCTTGCACAAAATGCAGGACATCTTAAAGGTCCTTAAGCTCAAAAAAGACTGCATGCTGTTCCAGACTCCTGGCGGTCAATGGTGCCGGTTCCATCCGTATCAATGCTGTCAAACAGTGTGCGAGTCACACGGGTTCGCTTCTTCGCTGCGGAAGTCATGCTGTGCAACACTTTGGACACAGCAGCTACCACGTTTCCAAAGGACAACACACCCAAGATCATCCATGCGGACCCCAGAAGTCGTCCTGTACGGCTCTTTGGCGCATAATCCCCAAAACCAACCGTAGAGAAGGTTATCACGGCCATATAAACAGCATCCACGATTCCTTGGGTGTATCCACCTGTCTCCTCGCAACGCTCGCTCTCGCAACCTTTCACGCGACTTGAACCGTAAGAGCACGAGCAGCTCTCAAAGGTTGCAAAGAAAGCTGTCCAGGTAAGCACAAAGAAAAGATAAATCGCAATAGCTATCCGAAGCTCGTGCCATGCAGACGGCTTTGTGGTCTTCGGTTTCTCGGCTTTTGTCAGCCGAGTTTCCACATTCTGCAAGGAGTCGTCTAAGCTCTGTTCTGCTCGCTGCAACAAGCTGTCGAAGATGTTATTCACAACGTTAGCAACTATCACAGTGCCCAGAAGAACATAGAAAGTCATGAACACCTTTCCATGATGGGACACGGTGACGTCACCATAGCCTATCGTTGTAATAATTTGCACTACGACGTACAGAGATGTCGATGGTCGCCACTCTTGCTGCAGCGTCAGAACCACGATACCTGCTGCGAAATACACTGCAAGCGAGCAAAATGTGATAGTTTGAGGACAGCGAAGAAGCAGGGGAGCGCGCTCTTGCTGCTCGTCCTCATATTCCTCTGATTCTTCGTCCGAAGAACCTGTGGAAACGCTCTTGGCGTCACAAAGACGGGCAGACATCCTTCAGGAGTCGCCATCCAACGAGCTGAAGTGTGCTTGAGCCCAAGCCACGTTTGCCACAGAGCGGGGAAGGCAAATCAAAGAGCCGCACAGGACCCAGGAGAGCCTAGGAGTCTAGGAGGCAAGGCTGAAAGCTCCAGGCGCCTCTCCCAGGCCATGGCTACCACCAAGCACCAGCGCCCATGTGCCGGGCTTCACATAACCAGCAGCTGCAGCACTCAAATGCCCTGAGAGAGGCTTGAAAAACTGCAAGGGCGGCAATCAACACCACACCGCATCTGCTGCTGAGACTCGATGTGACTGCAGCATGTAAGCGACCACCGCGGCAGAGATAGCAAACACGCGAAATAGCATCCTGCTCTGACACAAACACTTTCACTTGGCTGTAGTCTAGTGACTTACTTCTGCACTAATGAAAACGGGTACAGTACCGTGAATGTCCTGCGCGTCAGGAGGAGGTTCCACATGGCTCCGAGGCGCGGGGGAAATGTATACCCTACTGTACTCGTCCTGAAACGGCAGAATTGTTTTGCTATGGTCTCTGTCTTGAAGCAACACATGTGGATCTCATGCAGTGGCTGAAGGGAGCCGTAACAGTTATTTGTCGAGTTCTCGGAGACCAAGCCAGAAATCCAAAATGAAAGCAGCTTGGGGTCCTGCTTCCCCTGCATTCACCGCAACTTGGAACGTCTGCAGGCTGTCTTCCTTCAAGATCATTGTAGAGTCTGAAGGCTCTGAATGTTGCGATGATGGGCTCCTGCGCAAGCGCCTGTGTTAGGTGCTGCACCAGCAAAGGATCTATGTCATCCTGGGCAAGATGGGCAAACAAGCGGGGTACTGTCGAGACAAACAAGCCGCACAAACGTAACTTAGCGGCAGCCTCTAAGGAACCTGTGCCTGACAAACGCCGAACATACTACTCCCCTGCAGAGCAGGCCACCCTTAGAGCATGTCCTTCGATCACAGCAACCATGATTGCCTTTCTGAGCACTTCAAGAATCTTAGAATTCCGCAGAAATCAAGGTCCACAAGCCAAGGAACTCAAGCCTCGCAAACCCTACGTGGCTTTCCCTCACCTCAAGAGTACTGTGCACAAAGTGGGTCAAGGGCTGCGTCCAGTCTTTTTGAAAGCTACCCTCGTGCTGCACGTCTGTTTCTTCCCGAGTGCATTCTGGCGTTGGGGACAGACGTTGCCGCTTCCTGTGGGCTTTGCATGCACAGGCTTAGTCTGCCTCCATTTGTGCGCTTGGTTTCAGCTTCAGGCTGCCTGTTAAAATTTGTCACAACAACACAAGGCTGCCAAAAGGCACGAACACCATTTTTGCCCAAATGCCCCAAGAGAAAAGAACTGTCCCAGAGTCCCAGTGTCCTCCGTGGAGTCAGGGAAGCTGCGGCCATCCTGTGTGGGTGCAACACCTGTCAGCTTAACTTCAGTGATCCAGGACATGGGCAAATGCCTGCACAGCCTAAGAGCAGGGCCATGCATCTCCACCACATCATCAATCACATTGGCGACAAAGCCTTCCGTGGTCCAAGCCGTGTCCTGCAAGGAGGTGACTATTATTACTACTATTATTATTGGTATTATTACTATTATTACTATTGGTAATATTACTAGTGTTACTACAGTTGACGCTCGGGAAGTGATTTACTTCCGGTCCCGTGATGCGTTGAAGGCTGAAGCTGTGGGCGAAGCTTCACCGAAGTTCTCCGAGAGCTCATCCTGCCCGTGTAGTAATAGTAGTAATAATAGTAGTAACACTAGTAATATTACCAATAGTAATAATAGTAATAATACCAATAATAATAATAGTAATAATAGTAGTAATAATAGAAGTGCCCAGCATGCTCCGTGGATGCTTACCCACAGTACAAGCCCTCCAACCTCAGGCTGTGGTGTCATCAAGCGAGAGGCCATGGAGTTATCCAGAGCATCTCCCACCAGCAATGCCACCAGTGCAGCACCTTCATCCTAGCAAAAGTCAAGCTTTGTCACCATACTACCCTTGAAGCCTTGTTCAAAGCTTCAAATGCAGCATTGCATGTGTTCTGGAAAGATGAAGTCTGCAACAACCCAGCTTGGTAACACTCCACCTATGTGTTCATGCACTTGGCCCCTGGGCCTGACACTCGATTGGCAGCTCATTTGGCTCTCCTTGATCTCGAAGGGCATCCCGGTCAATGATGATCCTTGGACAGTCTTCTTGCGACAAGGAGTCCTTGCGTGGGATGGCAGGTACCGTTTACTTTTACATTCTACATCAACGAAACAGTATGCAAACAGATCTGTTGGCATGTGTCCTCCAGCAAAGAACTGGCGAAATGGGCCCCGTCTTGTGAAGACTCCGGATCTTGGCCGACTGGATCCTCCAGAACAAGACTTCAGCAAAGCTGCAACCATCCTAAGCCTTCATGGACCAGCCTCTAATCGAGTGCTGCCGTCCCGCAAGTCTTGCGATGCCTGATCATTATTGACAGTTGCTGACAGCGCTACCTGCAGCTTCGGCTGCCTCTAGCAAGGAGCTCGTGAA